TAATAAAGAAATACAGAAAAAGGGATATGCTTGATGTACTGTTGCTCATTTGAAAACAAAGAAAACCTTCAAGTTTGTCTTGGAGAAAATCCGTTAAAATTCTCTATACAACAAGCACAATACAGGTGTACGTATGAAACGTATTCTCTAATTTCAGCATTTATTCATTCTCCAACATACTGTAATCCTATACTTTACTCATCGACACGGGATAAAAATAACTTTTCACTTTAAATCATTATGCAAGTTTTCGATTTTTGAGGCATGGTAATTTTTATTTTTGTATTACTTTCAGCAACATTTGACGGTGCTCGGCATCTTTTGCTTGTGATATTTGAATTATTACCAGCACTGACAGTATCCAAAGACTTCTTTATACCGAAGGCATCAATAAGAATCAACGCAGTCTTTTTATTAATACCAGTTTCTTACCGATGCAAATCTTTTGAAATATTGTTTATCGTAAGCATTTTAACGAGAAAACAGACTTCTTCGAAAATGATGTTGTTTTCTACGTCTGAAAAGTCTCTTAATATTCTATTATTTTTCAACAGTTCTACTAAAGCATTAATACCAATTGAATGTCAGTTTGTTTCGAAACAACGTAATGAGGATCAATGTTGTATTATATTCTAAAGCTTTTGCAATTTGAGTTGCATCCTCATTACCGATGGCATTGTTATAAAGATAAAGATATTTCAATATTTTGTTTACTTTTAACAGCAGTGGACGATAGGACCAATAGATAGAGAAATTGTTCCCATTTAAGCAGAAATGGATCACCCCACATAAAGTCATACATGGTAAGGAGAAATCGAAAAAAACGAATATATACATATATGTATGTATGTCTATGATTCATTATTCTTCAAGGTATACTCGATTCAAGCAGAAATCGTTATTTTATTAAGGGAAATGCTTTAACAAGGAGAAATGGAAAAAAAAGAATATATGTATGTATATGTCTATCATTCACTCTTCTTCAAGGTATACTCGATTCAAGCAGAAATCGTTATTTTATTAAGAGAAATACTTTAACAAGGAGAAATCAAACGTGCTAGCATTATATTTTAGCAATAGTTCCACTAGTTAGATTCCATATAATTAAGTTTGTTCCACTATTTATTTTCTCTCGATTATACACAATAAAATTGTTTATTTTATCAGTAATCGAATGTTTGTAATGAGAGCTTTTGGATAATTTGACTATTAATATCAGTTACTTTTACCATTATTACGCGATAATTTTCTATACATGAATTATATATCAACTATATTCAATATATATTTTCTTTTTTTGCAGATTATTCATTTAGATATCAGTGCTATGTAAATGTCTTGATAAATGATACGTATTATGTAATTGTCGATTCCAAGTCAAATAAGGCCTGTGAGTTACGGTGTGTTACGACTATGGATAATACTTTTACAGATAATGCTGCTAGATCGATATCGATACTAGTGTACTATTTAGGGTTGCCTGATCAAAAATAAAATACTTTTTTGTTTCAGATTAATTATATCTGTTGTTTAAAATGAATCCTATGGAACGATTCAGATCTAATTTTAAGGTGGCCTGCAAACTCAAAATCGAGCCAGAAACATGGTTTTCTGTTAATGTAGCAAAATATTGTCGACAATTAGCTTCATATTATCAACTCGATAGCCATGCTATGGTATTAGCTCTAATTAATGGTATATCAAGCACTTGCCGCTCAACATACGTGAATCGTGCCTCACATTTTCTTGTTCCATGTAATTTATTCAATCTTCTAGTTGCCCGTTCTGGTCAGTATCAGCATTATTACGTTGAATTACGAAGTGTTTTTGTAGCATTTGAAAAACGCCAGTGGTGTTCGCTTCTCAAACCGCTCTTAGATTTTTGGATCGTAATAAAAGATAGAGCGCATGCCCCTAATAAGAATAGTTCACATAAAATGTCGATTAAAAATCTTTTCGTACATAATTGTTTTCCTTATGACAGAAAATTCCTTTGTTTTCGTCAAGAAAATTTTCTTTGATAGATGGTCGATTAGCTTACAGCGTTTTAAGCCACACAATTTTTTTTTATCATTAACATCAATGCAATATAAATAACATTCCTATTAAATCATAAACTATCATAAATCATTCTTAGCTTCGAATCGATCAAAAAAATACAAAAGCTTTTGCCTTGCTCACACCTGCTACTTTCGATTTTTTTTCTTTTATTATGAAAATGATTTTCTAAAAATTCCAATCAAGTATCGGAAACAGTAGCACTTTCCACATAATACAGACGAAAGATAATAATTAAAAGTAAGAATCAAAAGAATTAGATTCAACTGCATCAATCATAACATAATTGATCAAGATGTTGCTGGTGTTCGAATCATGTTGATTTATTATTCAAATACGCATACATATCACGGGGCAAATTAAATTTTAGTTTGAAATAAATCTAAGCAGATTTTATTTTTAGATCAAGCACAAAGCTATGAAATCAGTTCTTTATTTAAAAACAAATAATATATATATCATTTTCTATTTTATGTAGAGAACACAGTATTTAGTTGTAAATTTTATGTAGACAGTATTCATTTTCGCTAGTCCGTGCTACAATTTGTGCACGAATGGTTTCTAGTGCGTCGACATCAAAAAAGATGTTCGAAAGTAGTTTTTGAAGAAACAAATGAATCTTTTATCTCTTGGAATATCAAATTGTGAGAAAAGCATTTTTATTCTATCATAGGAACTACATAAGAAGAAAAGTATTTCATTATTTTTAGCCAGAGCACAAATTGATAGAATTTAATAACATAATACATTAATACTTTGAATATCATTCATCAAACAGATCAAAGTCAAGCACAATTAGAAATCAATACAAGATATTATTTAAAATATAAGATATTATTTAAATAAGCCTTAGATTAAAGATTCATTGATATGTTTTTGGTCAGAGCTTCTTCAGACGAATAAGATTCAAATTCAATATATTTACAAACTCTGGGGCTTCTTATATTGAGTCAAGCTTCGAACAAAATTAGCGGTGACTTATAATATTAATATATAATTTGAGACGCTTGTTGTCATCTTTTTCAAACATCTTTTTAAATTCATTTAAAAGCTGTATGATGATGCCGAAATCTACATTTCATATGAAATATTTACTCTTTTGACTACTGACGATGGTTTGTTGATAAGAAGGTCCCTAAATGCGCATATTCCTTATGAATGCAAATAGTTGTCGAAAAAAAAGGACCGTTCGTACAGAGGTAATTATTAAACCATTCTATCATGTAAGAGTGACTAAACAGTTTCAATAAAATTGTTTCAAAAAATAGAAAATTAGATGAAGCAAATCACTATTACTAAGTATCAGCAAAGAAAAAATTGAGAAAAGAATCAAATGATACTTTCATACCGAGTACGAAAATGAATAGTTTTTGAATATAAGAAAATCAATATCTCCTTATTTGATTTCAATTTCTCTTTGTAAGGGGAGATATCGATGAATGATTTCTTCCTGTCGCTTGCGGTATTGTCTACGTAGTGAATGATTTGCATAATGGATTGTGGTTGCTGAAGAAGCATTTCTGCTTGACTTTATGGGGGTTGAAGTCTTTCTGCTGAAAATGGAACAATATCTCGATTTTTGGGGATGTCGTCCAGCCCTCACTTTTAATGCATAAGTAAAGCTGTCATACATTGAAATATATATTTATAAAGAGAATATGTGTATGCAAACTTGTATTCGTTTCCAGACTTTTACTGATGTTTATCATATACCATGAGTCTATAGATTTTTATTTACATAAATCGAGTGATGATTCAGTTCCATTTACAAATATTTTATAAGGCACTCCTAATAAAGCTTTATTAATATATTTATTATTATCATTCATTGTTTTCTTTCACATTAGACGCAGACGAAATGTTGAAAAGTCAGAATAGTAGCATTTATCTTTTCAAAGAATTATGATAAGGCTTGTCACGAACGTATACTCTTTTACAGCTGCCCTGTTAACATCGTATTTTTCTTTTTATGAATGATATAGAGTGTGGATGTGTAAGTCTGAGCTAGTTCTTTCTTTCAATTATTTCCACACTCATTACGATGCGTTGCGTTTAGGTATAGGATATGCATTATGTGTCAACATTTTGAAATTCATCATTTTGATGGTGTCTTCAATAGACCAAAGAGTAAGAGTCTTGCATATCCCAACATTTGACAATGGTTTTTAAGTATTTTTATGGTTTTCTGCATGTATGCCACAGAAGCATAAGATATCAATCATGTATTCTAACAATTATCATTCAGATTTCAAAAGTTTGAGAATGACAAATACAATCAGAGAAGCGTATATATTTATTTTGTTGACAGAGCTTTCTATCTATACAAGTTTACAAAATTTAGTAACAACAACTACAACTTTTACAACGTAGTAATAGTAATATTTGTTTGCAACATGTAATACACTAGTGACTAGGGTGAAAAAGCTTTAAGTACAATGCCTGCAAGATTAAAATGTACAACGCATTTGAGTTGATTGAATCTCACACGAGGGGTCTCGCTACAATTATTTTCACGCTTTGCAACGATAGAGTTTTTAAGGTGCTGTCAGAACAAAGACTTACGGTTTTCATCAAATGTAGACTTGTTTTTCTATAGTTTATCTAGTCTAAAGATAAACTCACTCTCCGTCATATACTTGCTACGATAGAACACAAATATTAAGAAGGATGTTCTCTAATTTCGCTTAAAATTGATGGTAGATTCCACAAAAAATAAAATAGAAATTGCACAATTTAACTTTTTGTATCTTATCTTTTTCAACTAAAAGATGTGTTTAAAAGAACTTGTTTTTTAACAAATTGTACTTACTTTTCAGTGAAACTATTTTAAAAATATTTCGTCTCGTTCAAAAAGATGCGATACTAAATGCTTAATTGTACATTTTCTATTCACTTTTGTGTGTAGTGTGCAATCAATTTTGAGTGTACTCAATCTTCGATTTTTAGCATACTTCTATTTTCACTTTTCGGTAAACAAATCGAGCTAGATTTATCAAGTCTCTTCTAAACACTGCCCCAGTTAACGTATAAATGTAAAATGGCATTCCGAAGCTCATAAAACTGAGAAGATAAAATAGCTGAAAACAAAAATTTTCGATTGTCGATTTTAGCAAACTTTTTGGAACACTTAATATCGATGTCAAATAGAGACGATGAATAGCCAAAGGAATATTGAATATAGTCAATAGGATAATTTGAACAATTAACATTTGAATCAATTGTCGATCTGTCTTTTTCATTGTAACTATTGTTCCATGTGTAATAGCCGTCGGTGCAATTACATGATTTAATTTTCTCACATTTTGTACAGTTCCATATCCAAATATAAACATAATTGTTGATGGTATAAAAACGAATACAAGTGCTGAAGCAATCTCATTGTATAAACGACATATCATGTTATAACCATAACATGTTAATGGAGAATTTTGAAGATTTGGTACATAACAATAGAAAGTTTCAGCAAATACCAATGATCCACCAACAATTGTCATGAGCATTAATCTGCGTGTAAAACGAAGATTACTTAGATTACGACGATGTACATCACGACAACTTATACAATATCGATCGATAGTAGCATACGTTAAAAACCAGGATGAAGCCGTTGTTGACACCCAAATGATGAATGCACGTGATTTACAAAGTGTGGCATTTGTTGCCGATATATCAAGTGAGAAACCGGCAAAAACTCGACTAAGTAAACCTGAATAAAGAGCAATAAGACCAGCAATTGATGTGTAGAAAAAATAGACAGCACACGGATTTGTACGATGTTTAGGTTGATAAAATATAATCAAATTTAAAACATTTCCAAAAGAACCAAACAGTAGAATAAGTATCGTCAAATAGCGATTCATTTGAAATGTAAATACTGTTAGTGTAGCAATAATATCGGTCAACATTATATTCAACGTTGGCGTCAAAAAAATGAAACGTAAAAAAAGCTCGTTATTTATGTCGAAATTGTGTGATGAATACATTTTTTTCTTCTTAGTCTACTATCTGGTGAGTGATACTTCACCTAGATTTGCCTAATGAGGGCACGCAAGCTTTTCCGTTATTGTTCTACAATGTTCACAACGCGAACACATGCTGATTTTAGAACCCTAGGTGTCATAATAATTTGTGTCAAAAGAACAACGACAATGCAAGAAAGAAGCTCAACATTTCATATAGAGATTTGAGGCTATTTTACTGATGCTTAATTTGATCAAGACTTGATTAATTTCCGTACGCAAACCTCCGCTTATAACTAAGCAACTTGCAAATTTACAATAGACTTATTCTCTTTTACAAAATGCATTTCAAAGACTACTTGCAATCACTCATACACATCGACACCACCGATACGAAATGAGTCCTCGAAAAGAAAGACGAATTACGGTCGATAATTGATACTGTTCTCTCGAGATTTCAAGACGAAGTTGTTTCTTGTTCTATTTCACAATACACGATAAACGATATTTTGTACATGTTGAAGTATTTATTCCTCTTGAGATGAATACGGAAGAGAAATTGACGGATCCATAACTAGGAAAAGTTGAAAAAAGATTTTAATTATCTACTCGAATTCAACAACAAATACATGACTTTCTGCGCTTTAGTACGTTACATTTTCAAGATCTCATTTTCTGTCTTGTTTATTTGCTGCAGATGGAGGTTCATTAATATCAATTTTTAATGAACGACTTCACGTAGATCTATTTTTGAAACTCACATAGACATTCGAAGAAAATAATAACTATAAGTTTTAAATAGAACTTTTGCAATTTCCTTCTTCTTTCATCATCAGAGGTCTTGATAACCGAAGTTACCGGGCATTTAGTATGCTTCCACGATAACTGTCGACATAAATCAATCATTTAAATAATGCTGTCACTCTCGCTATGCAGGCAAAAGTCGAAAGTTTGCAATAATTAACAATATTAATTGAAATTTCGAGATCACAAAAGAAATAAGCAAAGAAAACAGTGTCAAATTAATGTATTAATATAAGCACTTGTATTAGTGAAGCAATGGTTAATGTGCAGAAATGTATTTGAGTTTCACATTTTGAGACTCAAAGAAGCTGCTTTGACAAGCTTTTTCTCATCCGTGAAGTTGAGATAAATAATCGATGGTGAGCTGTTGTCATCGGTAAGCATTCAAACTTCTCTTGATATGATTCAGATTTGGAACAGTATGGACCTGTAGTTGGATTCAAATACTGAAATTCTGAGCAGCTTCTTGGTAGGCACCTCAAAAAGATAAGTGTGAGTGTGGATGTTGGTAAAGACAGCAATCATAACAACATACGCACACCCATTCATATCTACTCACACCAATATAGATAATAAATATTTTTCATATATGTATCGCTTTCTATTGTTCGAATTCAATATTTTATATTTTTATCATTAAAAAATAGCACATGTGATAAAAATATTTTCCTAAATGATTCTTATCTTAGATGAGAGGATTTTTAATGTGAGCAAAAATTTTTACATTTTAAATATTCAAGGATAAAAAGAACAATATAAAGTTCATTGTTACTTTACTAGCTATACACAATTATGAAAATCATTCATAGGAAAGTTTCACATCACAGTAAGATACTTTTGCTTCATTCTTAAACTCGATATTCTTGGGTATTTGATGATATTCGACATCTACATTATGTTGAATAAGAATTTTCGAAGGGATCATTTAGTATATTTTATAATATGATTATAATAGTTTTCCATTGAATTTAAATTTTCTAAATCAAATATGGAAAAAAGTATTAAATGTTTTTTCAAATTACATGACATAATCTTAATAGATAATTTCAATTACACTTTATTTTATATTTTTAATAAAGAAAATAAATTCAAGAAATGAATCTTAACCAGAATTGTAGCAAGCAGCAACTTTATTCCAATAACCAACTGTAGCTGATTTTTGACAACCAGTTGGTCCGCCATTATGAATGCGAGCATAATCTTGACAAGTTGGTGTACGACCACCTGTACATCTTGTACCATAACGTTGCATGTATGCACGAACACATTTTTCTGAACAAGCTTTATCTTTAGAACATGCTTCGAGTGAGCCACCTGGTTTGCCACAATCGATCCAATAGACGTTTTTCAATTGATAATAACCACATGAATTTGAATTAACATCCCATGCACATCCAAGCGGTCGACAACCAGATTCAATTTTACAAATGCATTGAAGACATTTGTCGTTTATTTGAGCAAAAGTAGCAGCTGTTATGGCTAATAAAACAACAACAATAATTGTTTTACACATTTTGATATCTCCTATCAGCTCACTGTCATTTAGATTCTGTGTTCTGTATTTTATAGTTGAATATAAATGTTATGAGAAAATAGAAGATCTGTGATTGTTATTAAATGTGCGAATATTAACATACGGTTTTTGACTTGATAAAATTTTTTATTTGGGTAATATAATAGAAATATATATTTTGATTAGCAGTACATTTTTCGTATCACGCCGGTATAAGGATAAAAATAGAATTTATTGAATTTATACATTCAAGATACAAAAAAAAACAACGATAAATAAAAATAAAAATAAAATTATAATGTGGCTGTAAGTTCATTCTCGGAGTCTTCTTCATCACTATTTGTAAATAGTTTTGATTCGTCATGTTCTTGTACTATATTTGCTTCTCGTTGTAAGCGTAATTGAATATTTTCACGTTTAAGTCGTTCAATATCATCAAAAGCTTCTTTAAGGTGAGTTCTTAATGCTGTATAACTCAGTTGTAATTCTTCTAATTTATGTGAATCACTTTTTTTCTTTTTCTTTGCAGTAATCGGCGTTTGTATTGGACTTGTTTTATTAGTATTATGATTTTGCGGAAAAATAAATGCAGAAAATGAATCCATACTACCATGACCACCTAACATGACTGTATTTTCTAATTGTAATGTATTATGTCTTGACATCATTCTATTTGGTTTTTCTGAAGATTTTAGACTTGATGTTGAATATGCACGAGGTATTTTTGATAGGAGCTCTGCTCGTTGAAGTTCTATTGCCTAGAAAAAAGAAATGCTCTAGTGAGTGAATCAGATGCCAAATTCTGTGAAATCCAATGACTGAGAAGATCACTAATGTATCAGAGGGTTTGTATTTCGGTATAGATCGATTAGAATTCAACATTTGAATTTGATAAGGAACACGGCACGAGGAGTACTACAAGTGTCGGAGAAAGATTTTTTTTTTGTAGAAGCCTATTCAATTTGAATGAACTATTTAGTTTTTAATTTTTTTGTTTAAGTTTTTAAAATCTTGACTGTAGCTTTTAGGTCCTTTGACTGGATCGAAATTTCCATGAATGGTAGACCTAGTTAGGATTCGTGTACACTGAAACTTTTAGTATCTTTGCTTTTTTTTTTCTTTATGAAGATACGGCTCACCGAAAACTACAAAAGCGAAATTCTGTAACGATCACACATATCGAAAAAATAATGTCGATAAAATTTTCTCAATATTTTTTCCATTCTAGTATTTTCTTTCAGTTGATGCATATGGAGTGTAGTTTTTCTTCGATAATAACTTTTGTGCTACTGTTCAAATACATATATTCAATATTAATCTATCTTCGTATACAGCCAAGATACAAAAACAAACAAAGATGGAATTAAAACTTATGAAACACCTTTTATATGTGCATCAGTAAATTAGATAAGCGTCTCCATATCAATATACAAAGATGTCACTTAAGCTACATATTGTCATTTATTAGTAAACAAATACTTATAAAGTTTAATATAGAGAGAATAGAAACTTCAGAAATAGTGTTTTTCTTCGACATTTTGGGCTTAGACAGAATCTAGTTCGGAAAACTAACAATTGTTTTATTGAGTGTTTCAAGTAGATTTTTTCTATCGAAGCAAGGTTACTGTTAGAAGGGATGCAATCTGAAAAATCTCACAGTTATTCGATCACACTGTAAGGAATTGAACAGTCCATCAAGAACTACATGATATTCTTATTGATAGAATCAGTAAGGAATTCAAAAGTTGAGAAACAGGGAATACGTCATACAATGAAACATTGATATTTGACTGTGGAACTATTCGATCTAAATAAGTTAAGTAATGGCATAGTTCAACTTTTTAAGCTGTGGTTAGTGTTCATGGCATTCTTTACGCAGAGTTGTAACCGGTTTGAACTAGTCAATCGTCGTCAGTTAGAAAATATTTTATAGATATAATTTTTTTCTCTGATAACACTTGTTGAGAACAAGGTTTTTTGTTCTTATCAAAACTATCAAACAGTGTTGTTTCAAGAACTATTATTTTTATTGTCTTTTGTTTGCTCATACTGTGTCACGTGAACTAAAGTTGTATCACATATATTTTGGTAAAGTTCAAATTTAGGTTTGGATTGTCGTGTTCAAAGAGAAACGTTCATTTTCTCTTAAAAGGCTGAGTGTCAAAATTAAAGATTTGAAGTTTAGCAATCAGTGAATGTGTAAGTGATTCTTTTTTTCGCGCTGTATATAGAAATAGCACATCTTCATCTTTTATGAAACCGAATAGATATAAACGACTATGACATGATATTTCTTCTTGGAGATTTGTAAGAACTTGAGTACAACAACAGAACATGAATGTCTTTTGAAGTCATTCTTATTAACCGATTAATAATGACGCAAAAAATCTACCAGATCACACTAGTTCAAAAGATCTCGACCTATTACAACTGTCTCATTAACTGCCAATAGTATTCTACTATAGAATCCAATCATATACTAAAGTTAGGGTTCCGAATGTGATTTTATCATTTGATTGGCGTCAATATTTTTACAGATGATAAAATTTGATAAGAGTTGATCAAACTTTGCACAATTTGATTGTTGTATATTGATTTTCTTGAGAAAATAATCCGCTAATTTCTTCTTAGATATTAACCTGTTCTGATTGATCTTTTAAATGATATAAATTAATTGCTTTTTCACATTGTATTATTTGTGCTTCTATAATTGATTTCAAATTATCATCATTGAGAGTATTTTGAATTGTTTTAAAATATTCTATAAATAAAGAAAAGTCAATTTTGAAAGAATCGAAAATTTCTATTGACCTATTCCACGTAAATAATATTCAATTGCTTTTGACCATTTATGCATAGATGCTTGAATATCACCTAAACGAATTTGTTGATGAGCCTAATTTTGAAAAAATTTTTAATTTAAATATCGATTTCAATAAGCAAAAGCTATACATGTGGAAGTGATGGTGGATTTTCAAGTTCCATTTATTAAATAATCTAAAAGAGTATTTGTTCGTTTATAAAAATGAATGTAAGACAATGGCAGTGTATTATAAAATAAGAAAAAGAAACTGTATCCTTTAAGTGTAAAAACTTTTCACAAAAGTCTAACTATTAAATAACATAATTTAATACATCTGCACATGTAATAAACATCAACAAAAGTAGCATAAATCTTGTCATAACAGGAACGATATGTAGTTAGAATAACAAGACATTAAAAAAAAAAAGCAAAATATTTAATATCTATTGCTAAAATGATGGCTGTTTATTTCTTTGTTTATTGTTATTTGTATTGTTTCGCATGTTCTCAGATTGTACTGTTATTTTAAGACAAATGTTGGTTTCCATATATAGATAAATATTTCATACGTAACTGCATCCTATATATGAATGACTCAAAAAAAAAAAGAAATAACAAAATCGCAAGAAGAAAGAAATGAGGAATTCAGACGGTAAAATAATGTACAAATAGTGTATATATATAAATGAGGTTCGACAAGCAGAAAAAAGAGAAAAACAAAACACATCACAGATGAACACTCGATCGTTTTGAAATAGCCGTTTTCATAAGCGATGAAGAAATAAATTTAGAACCATGATCCTTCGTTAATGATATTTCATTTAAATCTAATATTGATTGTAATGGTCCCAATGTATGTATTTCTGGTGGATAACATGAAAAAAATGTATGCATCATTGCATCACGTGCCGATATTCGAGAACTCGGATTATAGCGTAAAAATTTATCTAATAAATCAATACTATTTTGATCAAGTCGTGATGCTAAACGCCTTAATGATTCACCGTTATAAAACGGTATTCTTAATGCTTGAAAATCAGCATTTGATGTAACACCGGGTAATGTTTGTTCAGTTGGTGTACCAAGGCATTTAAATATGATATGTAATTCTTCTTCAACTTTTGTACCAGCAAATAATGGTCGACCACATGCCATCTCATAAAAAATACAACCAACAGCCCATATATCAATTGGTGTTGAATATTCTGTACTACCAAGTAAAACATCTGGTGGTCTATACCATAATGTAACAACTTCATGTGAATATGTTTTTGTTGGAAATGATTTAATACGTGCAAGACCAAAATCAGCTAATTTTAATTCACCACGTTCATTAATTAATAAATTTTGTGGTCTAAAATAGAGATTAAATAAAATCAAAAAAAGAATTTAAAAAAGTAGTTAATTTTGTACTTTAAATCACGATGAAGAATTTTTCTTGCATGACAATATTCAAGACCACGTAAAAGTTGAAATAAAAATAAACGAACATTTTTCAAATTAAGCATATTTGCACAATCATCCATATATTGTTTTAAATCTTTTTCAACATATTCAAATACAAGTGTTAATGTTGTTTTATCAAATATAATATCATATAAACTAACAATATTATTATGTTTAAGACCTTTTAATAAGCTCACTTCACGTAATGCTGTGCATGGTGCACCTATAATATTGAAAATGAAATTTATATATTTTTAGTTAAATTTAAAAAAATTAATAAGATTGAGAGTATTTACAACTGAGATAATAACATGAATAAATGATCAATTTTATTTTTAATCAAAGAAATATAGTGTCTAGCACGACTTTGTATTGTTTATTACTTATCTTAAACCTATTGTAGTACTGATAGGATTTGAAATCTTTTTTGATTACAACGAAAGTCTATTTGCTTCAATATGTTGTTTTTACATCTTAGTTAATAATACTTTTCAATTCAATTATTTTTATTCATAATAACCAGTAATGGTTTCTAGTTTAATTTCATATTTCGGTTTGAATTTACAACAATTTTTAAAATTTATAATATATAATTTATAGAATTAATATTAAAAAATAACAATTCATCACTAACAAAAATCAAAACTTTATCTATGTTTATTGCTTAAAGCCCTTTCTTTGTATTGCTTATCAATTATTCATGACAGAGAAGCAACAAGATCTTTGAATATCTAATTGTTATTTAAATAAACTCATTTCCGATGTATTTGATGTATTCTTACTCATACGACATACGGAAATAACCTTGTCATCTTATATTTTTGATAACAAAATAACCTTCGCAATGTAAATCGACTGATCAAAATAAATATTTAATCATACCTTCTTCTTGTTCAAGTCGAATTTCTTTCAATGCAACATAGCCACTAAGCAAACTCGATGTACCTTTATAAACCGTTGCATAAGTACCTATTTTACATAACAAAAAAAAAACGAGAACACAAAGCAAATAATATAATTTTTAATTTTCTTTTTTCTTTTATTATATTTACCTTCTCCTAATTTTTCTAATTTGACATAAGATTCAATTTTACCAAAACCAAGATCAAGCATTGAAAGTCGATGTTCATTTCGGCTTAATGGTCCACCTGTGCTTGAGGCAAATTGTGGTGAGAAACGTGATGATGATGATATATTCGATTGATTTAAAACATCATTCAGCGCTTGAACTGATGATGAAGTAGTTTGATAATAGGATGAACGTTGTGCTAATTTTCCTCGAATATTATTTGATTCAGTTGTTTGATAATTAATATTATTATTATTATTTGTACCTTGTACATAACCATTTTTTAATTCAGGTGGTAATGATATACGTGATTTAAGTTCACGTAAACCTTTTTTCTTTTTTGCACTATGATCACGCATTTTAACTTTTGTTACTTGTTGATTTATATTTGTATTTTCACTATCTGCTTTTAATGACATTGTTTGATGAATAGCTGTTGGTTATAATAAACAAAAAACAAGAAAAATATACAAATGACATTAGTCTATATTTGTTTTTTAATAACAAACCTTTGCTATTATTATTTGTATTTGATGTAGATAAATGATTATTATTCATTAAATAGTTAACATCTCCATGTAAACTGATTGAATTAGTTAAATATATTTTATTACTACTATTATGATTATTAACAACAGAAAGTGTTTTATCAGTAGTCGATGTTTCGTATGATGAATATTTCGATGGTATTATTGAATCATCTTGTTGTTGAAAATGATTATTACCATTTTGATATTTATTCGATGTCGATGAAGTACCCGAAAGTGATGAGGATGATGCACCTGTTTAATGGGAACAAAAATGCATACGTTTATTATATTATAGAGAAAGGTTTAATCTTTATTTTTGTGGCATGTTTCAAATTTTATCTTAATTTTGAGTTTTACTTAATTTATATATATATATTGGGAATGGCATTTAGTTAAGATTTTGATTCAATAAATTCTTTTTATTTACCAATGACACATGATTGTACTTTGAAAATCAAGATTTAGATCGAAACTATTTGTGTTTGGGTACATGTTTACATGTCTTGGTATATGTCTCCTGATAAAAAAACGATCTATTAGCTACAAAGTGTTCTTGTATGTAAAGATAGACAGTTGAATGACAGACAGAGATCTCTGTTATAGTTTATAAATGATATGATAGAGTTAGACACTCATAAGTAATGACATTTTCATAAGAGATAAATTCTTACTAAGATTGGCAACAGTTTTTTGTATATATTGATGCATTAATGTTCCACTATCTGATTGATTTGAACTCATTTGATCTATATTATCATATGTTTGTTGTAATCGATTTTGTTGTTGTATTGGAAGTGAATTTTCTTCTTCAGATATTGGTACTAATGTTGTACCATTAGTATTGCATATAAGACTTGTACTTAAACATGTTGGATATGTTGAATCAGAGTTATCGGAAATTCTAGTTTGTAAATATGGATAAACAAGATCAGCATTAAGTGAATTTTGTTGATTAGTTGCTTTTGCTATTGTTGATAGATCTGTATTTGTACTATGACTTCGTTTAAGAAAATGAGAAAATTGGCGAAATGAATTACGTGGTTTTTTTGGTTTAGCTGTTATATTAACAGATGATGATACTGTTAATGGTTGAAATTTTTTTGTTAATAAAGATTTAATTGATGAACGATGTTTTTCATTTGTTTTTATTGTTGTATCATTATTACTATCAAGAGATAAATCGTTTATATCATTAAAATTAATATCACGTGTGTTTGAAGATTTTTTATTACTTAAATTCAACTGCAAAAACGAAAATAATTATTTCAAAATATACGAAAAAATAAACCGATTAATTTTGAATTTACTTTGCTTTTTTTTGTTGTATATTCATTTGTTGATGTATTTAAATCTGTTGATGCTGAACGACTCATAAATGATGAAATATCACTACTTACTGGTCGAGTAGATAAATAATAATTTTGTTGTTGAAGATGTGACGTATTTATATCTTCTTGTGAATGATGTTGTGATATTGGTCGAAGATGTTGAGCATAAGAAAGTGGAGGATGTTTATGATGTGATGATGATGGTGGTGTTAATTCTTCTGAATTTTGTTCTATACTAGTTGCAGTACCGTTTGATGTTGTAAAAGAACCAATTGATGAAGTACTTCGGGGTATTGTAAAGCGTTTAAATGTTTTTGCTATTTTCGAACTAACCTCCATAGTTTTTTTTTTCTGTCAAACACGTGCGTTCTGTATAAATAGAAGCAACAATAAATATTGTCAAGATTATTCACACTTACTCACACACAAGGATATGACTATGTACAAATCATCGATGTTGCTATCGTTTATTTGCCATATTTTGATATGACTGAAAGAAGGTATAGGAAGGACAGAACGACGAAACAAAAACAATATAAAAATCTAAAAATAGAAAGTAATGTTTGAAAAAAAAAGAAAACGAAAGAAGCACATTCATACAACGTAGGTGTTTGTTTTGTTTTGTTTTATTTTCTTTGAAAAAAAAACAGAAAGAAAAAAAAAAGATGAAACATCTTTTATTCTTTTATTATTATCTTACTCAAATTTGAACAAGTTCTTAGCCTTGATTATATAAAATTCGATTAAATGTCAAGTTTCGTGTTTTTTTTTCTTCTATACATATAATAATAACGAGCATACGATGTATATCGTAATAATATTCATGCTTTTTTTTCCTTCTATATGCACATATGCGTTGCATCCCAACTAGACAACTCAAGAAATAAAAGCAAAAGCGAGAAAATGGTATATTGTTGCGTCGACGAATGCAAAGGTACACAGTAACATGCTGTTAAGAGAGCAAAAGAGGCAAATGGAACTTTTTTCTTCTCTTACACACACACTTTGTCTGTTGACAGATTCATTTGTTCTCTTAATCATATAATAATAATAATATAAAAATTTAACAAAATCATGCAAGGAAAAAAAAAATCTTTTCTGTCTATGTAAATGTTTGATTATTTTATGCATTTATTCAATCTGTGAAAAAATAACAGATGATTATAATGTAGTTGATGTGAAAGATGGGTGGCTTGCGTCATCAGACAAATATATTTTTTCTCGTTTACTTATGCACATACCTGAATCCGCAGACGACCGAAATAAAATTAATAATCATAATAATATATCAAACATGTCAAGGTATGGAAGCAAAGCATTAAGCCTCATTATTGATCGTGACAATGGTTGTAGACTTTACAAAGTGTCTTGTTGTCCTTGCTCGTCGTCATCAAAATGAGACTCATTAACGTTAACAGAACAAAAAGTCAATCTGGAAAAATGCATTTTCTTTTATTGTACAGCAGACTCTGTCATTGATGAAGACCCATAAAAAACAGAATGAAAGTACTAGTAGTAGTAGAAAAAAATAAGAAAGAATAAGCTTAATCGAATCCATCCTTTATTGCAAATAAGACATGGCAGTTGTATTATTATGGAAGATTTCTAGTATTATTTCCTGGTTTTTTTGTTCTTGTATACATATCTGAGTTAATACTTCTCTTTTATTATACCTATGAGTATGCATAATATTGCAGAGAAAAACAAAATATGTCTGCTAATGATCTTACTAAATAGAGTCCTTAAATAAAGAAACTCTATAAAAGCAAACGACAGGAGAATATAAACACACGTTAGAAGACGAATTGATTAGATGATAGTAGCCTCTTAAATATCATCGAATAGCTTTTTATAGAATCATTATTGGTTCTATGTTTAGGATTCTATCTATCGAATAATATAAATAGACATCATTATCGCATTCTTATATTTGATCTTGTGACAATCAATGGGATAAAATCATTTTGATTAATCAAGTAATAATAGATGACGAAATCGGAGCTCATTACACCTACACATCAATCAACAGAGTACGATATTTTTCTTTGTTCGTTTTCATTTAACAAAATCAGGTGTGGGGAAAAAATATTATTTTTTATTATGATTTATTTCTCGCATCGATTTCATCAAAATAATTTTTATGTTGTAATCTGACTACATTTTCTTTGCAGTCTCAAAATCAAATTCTATAAAAAATTTCAAAAGAAATGTCTCGATTATTCTTACAATAACATGGGGGCTTATTTGCATGAGAAATCTGATCATGCACAAATGATAAATGAAGTCATAATCGTTCAATATGTCCAACTATGAAGAGTAGACAGAAATTACATATATTTTCCGGCTATATTCCCAAAAGAATACATTTCCTGTCAATCTCTCTATCGGAATCTTATTTCTAGCAAACAAAAGAAAAAAACAGACAAAATATTTTAATTTTTATTAATATACTTGATTTTAATTTTAATAATAATAAATAGAATTTAATTTTTACAAAAAGAAAAAAAACAAAAAAAAAAAAAAAAAAGAAAACCAACTGAACATGCAATTTCTAAAAAAATAAATCTACCTCTAACAATGATATACTGAATATCACAGACATTAAACTGTATGTTCACTGCAGAAATACTTAATATCATTGGTTGTTATATTCTGTTGAATATTACCATTAGTTTTGTTAATTTGTTTTGTTGTTGATGTTGCTAAATTGAGTGCGTCAATTAATGAAATACTTTCATACATTAATTCATCCTCATCATCACTATATTGATGATTAATTAGAAAGTGTTTTCGATAACGTAATGCATTCATTTGTAATAAAGCACGAAATGGTATCCGACAAATCGGACAATTAGCAGATTGAAATTTTAAGTTTTCAGCACATGATCCACATAAACATAAATGTCGACATGGAAGTAATAAAACAGTGCGTTTATCAGTTAAACAAATAACACAAGTACTTTCATTTGTATTATTGAATACTAAATCAAAATCAGATGAAGTTTTTTTAAGTACATTAATTTCATTTGCACTAAAATACATAAATCAAATGAATATAAATAAAAGTGTCTTTTTTTTATTTTTACCGCTTTAAAAATGGTTCATTTTCATTAAGGGTTGATGTTGTAACAACTTTTATTAATGATGTATTTCCTTTAGAAATTTTTTTTTTATCATTATTATTATTTGATAATTTTAATGGATGATTTTCAATACTATAAATTTCAAATAATTTAAAAACAATTCCATTATAAACATGTTTTTGATTAAGTAAAACAATTGTAACACGATCAGGAGTTATTGTTGATATTGAATCATTTAATCGAAGGACTTTTATTGTTGCTAATACAATATGATATTGATCAAATATAGGGAAAGATGCTAAAGCAGCTGTTGTATGATCACTTAATGTTGTACCACAAACTGTTGATGAACTTCTATGAAAAGAGAAAAAAACCCAAATGAATTATTTCAAAACAAAAAAAGATTTTTTACTTTGTTAATGAAGAATTTATTTCTCGACAAACAATAACTATTGGATAAACATGATTTTTTATTGTACAATTATGATGATTTTCATTTAATACTGATAACGGTAAATGAATATCATTTGGTATTGATGAAAATATTTGCCCATGACCAGCAGACCGATTAAATACATAATATTGTTTAAATTTATGTAAATGACCTGATTTTTTACATGGAACATATGATAATGATCCACTATTATTTGTGTATACTTCATGAGCCATAAAATAGACTTGAAGAAAACAAAAAGAAAGAAATGAATTAAAATGAATAAAAAAAAAACCATACTGTAGATTTGCACTGGACGATCAGCGTCGAAAGTAAAATCAATTGAATAATAATCGTCGTAACAATGGATTAATTTAAGTGAATCTCTTCGTATTGCTATGGTGCATTGAACTGGCCGTGTAATCATGGATTGATTTGTTTCAGGTAATGAAACTTGTAAATGTACAGGATTTAGTACATCTTTTCTTGAATTAAAATAATAATATTCATTGAAAAGGCACGTATGTGGTTGTGTATTAATAAAAAAATGTTTTGAACCCAAAAAAAATCGATTTAATAAATGGTTTTGTTTATGGCGCCGACGTCTTCGTTTTTTAGATTTAGAATTTGAATGTACATTTATATGATTTGTTTCTGTTGTTGATGAAAATATTGATGTTAAACTATAATAAATTCCCATTTAGGAAATCTCAAAACAAGAAATAAACATAAGATTGATGGATGATATCCGTTCGGCTCTATGGCCATATTTTACCATTTGTATCCAATGCACCATTCATAGAATATTATTTGTCCTCTAAAATGATGAATCATGAAAAAAGCAGCTGAGTGTCTCGATCGATATTTTTTTTCTTATGTCTAGTTGATGAAAGATTCTGAAACATTATTGCCAATTGATAACGATGACAATGATACGAAAAATAATGTTTATTGGAAATATGAAAATAATAATAATAAAACTATGACAAATCATGAAGAATTAGTTGGCGGTTGTTGTGTTTGTTCTGATGATCAAGGCTTTTCAAATAATGTTCTAGTTTATTGTGATGGAAAAGGTTGTACAGTAGCTTGTCATACAGGTAAGACAAGAAAAAAAAAATATTCACATTATTGATTTAAAATTTTCTATATATATATATATATGTATTAAATAGCTTGTTATGGAATTGTATCAATTCCTGATGGTGATTGGTATTGTCGTCGATGTGAAGTTGGCGCAATTCAAGCAGTATGAAAGTTTTATTTTTTATTTTATTTTTATTGAAATCTTGTTTTTTCTTTTAAGCCGTGTCGTTTATGTCCGTTAAAAGAAGGTGCAATGAAACAAACATCTGATGGTAATTGGGCACATGTTATATGTGCACTTTATATACCTGAAGTATCATTTGGCAATGATGAAACCATGGAACCAATTATACTGTCAAGAATTCCATCAATACGTTATGGACAACCATGTTCTATTTGTATTCAAAATGGACGTTCAAAATCAGATGCAATTAAAGGTGCATGTTGTGAATGTAGAGTTAAAAATTGTTCACAATTATTTCATGTCACATGTGCACAACAAGCTGGATTATTATATGAAGATGTGAGAAAAAATAATTGTCAATATCCAATTTATTGTGAATATCATCGACCGAAATTTTCTGTAAGAAAATATATGAAAATTCTTTTACATCAATAAAAATTTTTTTTTTTAATTATTTAGAAATTTATTAGACAAGTACCTGCCTTTCAATATCAATCATCAGAACAAAATCATGTAAATGAGATTTTTATTCTCGTATTTTATTTATTTTTTGTTTTATGAAATAGAATTCAAAAGAAAAAAGAAATCCATCGGAATTATCTGATTTTTTTAATAATACTATTGCTCAAACAAATGGTTCATTATTATCAGAAAGACAAGAACAAGTGGACAATACAACTAGTCAAAATTCATCACAAGTTACATCAAAAATTAATCATTCACACAATATTGAATTAAATAAACAAGAACAAACGTCTAGTTCATCATTATGTCAAAATCAATTAATATCCGATACAAGGTCTGCACTTGAATATTATTTTTCATAACTATTCAACGTTATTTCGAATAGATAGCTGTTATATAATTGATGTAATGTTTCTATAGAATGTTTGAGTCATTGAAGGTTATTTAAGAAACAGCAGGTGGCATTCAAGAGCGATTGCAAGGTTATTTTTTGTATGGCGTAAATTTAAATTGTCCTTATGAAGAGATCAAACAGAGATGTATTCAATTCTGTACAAAATGAAATATAACTCTTTTTACCGAGATATAAATACAAGGAAAGTCGATATATAATATAATTAAGTTGAACAAGTTCTTTTTTTCATTCACATATTTATTTACAAATTCATTTTATTTCTGAAATATTTTTGTTTTATCATTTAACAGAGACTTATCAATTGTTAATTTAAAATCATCAAATGTCAATAGTGATCAGAAAACATCAACATCTACATGTACAAATATTTCTTCTAATGTTTATAATAATCTTTCATCAAAAGAAACTTTTACTCCAAAAATCAAGTGAACATAAAACTTTTTCTGTTTCGATAAAAAATAAAAATCTTTAAATTTTTCCATTTAGAATTGAAGTGAATGATATCGATTATCAAATAGTCGAAAAAGATAAACTTAATAAAGATGCACAATTACATAAAAAACGTCATTATTCAAATGAAGACGGTCCAAGACTAGTTGGTCGTCTTCCATCAAAAAAACCTTATTTATCTCAATTAAAACATAGTAATCATTCAATATCTCCAGAAAAAAATCTAAAACCTAGCGAATCTCAAACTAAAAATGATCAAGCAAATATTGATTTTTATTCTCATCAATTTTTAAATAATTCTTCAATAACATTAAAAACTTCAGAACATTCATTTCCACCTCAAACTTTAGAAGAATTTCTTGAACAAGAATGGGAATTAACAAGTGATTTTCTTCTTGAACAAAATATGCCACGTGATGTTTCATCATTATTATCATGTTTATATCAATTTAAATCTGAAAATGCTTCTTTAAAAAAGAAATTCGATGAACTTAAACATCGTCGAGATTCACTTCGTGTTATAAATGCTAATTTACGCCGAAAACTTTCAGAAACTGTTGCAATTAATGAAACACTTAATGAATCATCATGTCTTCCAAAAAATAATCAACAAATAAATAAGAAAAGTAAATCACCTGTAATTGAAAAACAGCATAAATTAAAAAATATGATTCCTTCGGATACGGAATTTATTTCAACTAACTCAACTCCTTCTTCATCATTCTCCTATGAACCAATTCATCCATACGTAATGCATAAAAATGAACCATTACCTCTAACCCATGGTCTTAGTCTAGAGCTACTCTCTCAAATTTTTACAACTAGTGGTCCGCAACTTTTTGCACCAACATGGAATATTTCTGTAAGTCATTTCGTTTATTAATTCAATACGTAAAATCAAACATATTCTTTAATAGAATTTTGGTTATGCGAATTTTCCCGGCGCTAATTCAATATCAGTATCTGATGAACCAATAATACGTTCATATTCATCTTTTCAACAATGATTCTAAATTCATTTTCTTTTTTTTTCGGAGTCTTATTTTTTTATGAACAAAAATCAACGATTATCGCATATGCATTTATTATTTAGCGATACATTAATGCACATAATTTCTCAACCATTCTCCATAAAAATAGTTTCTTTTCTAGATGAGACATTTTTTCTTATCAGGAATTTTCTTTAGTCTTTTTGTGGTCTTATTGTTTTTAATCGAGCAGTTCTTCTTACTGTTTATTGCAGTATTTTAGTCATCTTCTATTCAGCTATATTAATTATTCTCGCAGATGTTTTTGTATAATATTGCATGTATTTCATTGTATGATTTGTTGTTTTTATTGTGGATATTTATTAATTTTTTTTTTCTTCTTCCTATGATATTATATGTTTAAACAAAAAAAATAAATAAACGCCAGAAGTTAGAGATGATGAATATATGAATCTATTTATTTATTTGAAATAGGATATGTGTGTTAATAAAATTTTAATGAATTCAAAGAATAAGAGAAGACTACATTGAAAAAGATAAAGAGAGAGTAATTCTATACTACTGAATAATTTAAAAGTAAGACATTATTTTTAAATTTTAAACGAACTACATAGCGTATTGCTTAAACATCTAATTTCAAAATAATAACTAAAGGAATCTATTGATTATATGCGACTTTTGATATAAAAGCGTAAACAATCATTTTATTTGCGGAAAATTTTCTTTTGAATAAATGTTTTTCTTTTTACATTCATCTATGTGTAGTTATCACAGTTGACATAAGAATTCATTTAAATTTGAAATATACGTAAAATTTGAAAAAAAATTTCGTCAAGCAATAGATATTTATTATAGCAATAAAGCTTGATAAATAATATGATATAATTCATTTGCACTAGAATCCATAAAAAAATACCACATAAAATTCAACAAGAAATGTAATAAGTATTCTGTATTTTTCTTTTTTATGTTTACTAATAGAGATACAGTTAAGAGACTCTTATTGTGTACCTTTCAAGTTTTTGAGCGCTGTGTTATTGTTTATTGTACGAGTCATAGACTAATTAATGTTTGTTGTTTTATTCAAGTTTCAAGCTTTATGGACATAAGATAATCGGCTGAATTGTAATGTTTTATGCTATTAGTACAGTATAGACTTTTTATTTATGCGATTGAATAATATTTATTAAATGTGAGATTTCTATGTCATTTGTTTATTGATTTGAATCTTATTTATTTGTGTTTCTTGCTATGAAACAAGCGAGGATTAATCACAAATTATGACCAATTTTCTAATTATAGACATGTATTTCTTTTCTGTGTTACATATTTGGATTAAAATGGATGTATGAAATGCTAAAATGCATTCTTATATCGATAACCTTGATGTAAAAATTCTATCACGTAGAATAATATTCAATGTTTAATTTTATTTCTCAATGTAAAAAGCAAATAATAATTATTATAGTACAGTGTCGATTACAAACAGCTCAAATAAACATTTTTTCCCAAATTCTGGCTCATACCAATTGAATAAAAAACAAAATGTTTGCATATTTTAGCAATCGGATCAATCATTCTATATCCCCGTTATAAAATAAATTGTCGAGCTATGTATTAATTTCAACAGAAAAAAATCTGTTAGCACAATCCCTATGAGATTAAAATGTGAAACACAATGTAACTATTGTTGGTAATCATATGAAAATTGTTATATTCAATTTATTTTGAGACGTATTTCTTCATCATCGTTCACTAAATTCTCTAAAATTGCAATAAGGAAGTAATTCATATACCCTAATGAGATATTAGCGATCTATCATAGTCTGTGGGAAGGGAAAGGATACAATCTTATATTCCTATATACTTCAACACCTCTTTTAGATCGTGTTCCACAAAATATATCTAATACTTAATTTATTACTTATCGAAACTATATAATATATTCATGATATTTTGGCAGATCATTGACTCAACATATATATATATATATTACTAGTACACTCTTTTTAGTTTGAAGTTTCAAAATAGTATTCTAATCTCAACTAGATTTTAAACTGATCTACGACATAGATTCCATAATGGCATCTCTGAAAAGATTTTATATACAAATATTTTCGTCTAAGATATCTGTTAAAAGACGAATCATTCTCAAAGTACATTGACAGTCTTATCTATTAAAAATTTGATAAAAATACTGTAGTTTTTTTATCAAAAACATTTAGAATCAAAGGTTACAAAAATTTTATTTTCTATTAGATGATCATCTTGTGACAAAATATTTCAATTTTATTTCAAATAAAAAACTATATTAATTTAATCAAAAAATAATTTATGGTAATCATACAGCAAAATTTCAATCAACTATGAGGAAAAACTAATGTACGATACAAAATATGTTTTTTCTAATGTTAAGATAAGAAAAAGAAAAAAACAACAACTTTTTAAATAACTTAAGTCACGATACATTTATGTAATGTGTTTATAATGATGATAGCAATTCTCTTACTTTTTACATTTCGTTTTACATACGGTCAAAGTACTAAATGTCAAATATGCATCATTGATTCAAGTTGTACAGATGATTATATTCATTTTAATATATCAATATCAAAGGAATGTCAGCATCCAATAAATACATATTTTAGTTATGATACAGATATTGATTCAGAAAAACATTATTTAAATAAAACAATTGATTGTCATAGTTGTGATACTGACTTAACTATAGACGCTATTCATGATGCATGGGATTATACTTTAACACTTGAATCACCTGAATCAACAAAATCTTGTTCTATTCGTAAAGCTCGTTGTGGTGGATATACGTCACGATATATATGGATTGGTACAGCCAGTCTTTCAGGCTTATTCATTGTATTGGGTGTTCTATTAGGTATTATTCGATATTGTCGTACTCGAAAACCACCAATGAAAACCATACAGTAAATAATTCAATTAGCCTTATTTGCTGTTTAAATTTGTCATGTTATACATATAAACAGAAACAAAAGCGCATTGTATCATATTATGCTTTTATGAAGGAAAACACAGTTATATTTCGAATAATTATTATAATTTATATTGTAAAATAAGGTTAATTTTATTGTAATTTATCATGTGTATATGATTATTGAATCTTATGAGATAATCTCCAATAAATAATCAAACATTTACAGACGTATTTTAAATATTTATTATCTAATTGGTAACAGAATTCAGATGTATTAATTAAATTCATGTCATAGTCGATTCTTATCAATATGTAAGAATAGTCGAAATCGAACTGATGTTAGATGCATAAAATATAATTAAACAAAAAACGTCTGATATGCTGAAAGAGAGAGACATATACACAAAGAATTGAAGTTATATTGAGCTGCATTCAACTTTGTCTGTGTAATTATAGAAAAGATTAATTTTTCTGTTCATTTTAGACATAATATTTCATTTGTATAAGTTATCAACAATGTGTTTTCTTTAGACAAGATGATATTACAGTTAAGCATTTTTTCTGAAGAGATTAAATTAATTTTTAGATATTGGAAAGTATTGCAATAAAGGGTGTGTTACTCATTATGAATTTATATAAAAGCTATCAATATTCTCGTTTTCATATTAAAAAAACTAGCAAAATAAATTAGAATGAAAATCAATAGATTCCTTATAAGGTGGGCGTAATTCAAAATTTGAGCAAATCGTTTTTCTCGTTCATTTATATATGGTTTGATAGAGCTTGAAGAGCTGATCACGAATATATATTTTTTTATTGCAATAAGATCATTGTTTTGGCAGAAAAAATGCTAAAAAACTAGAATGACTGAAAATGTTGCTTTGGCAAATGTGAATTTATTTTTTTACAGAAACTGCTAAATTTCAATTACGCTACTTTTTCAAACTTTTCGAAAACATTTTATTCTGATTCAGCATCGAAAATCGAGTAGAATAATGATATTTTCTTGGGTTTCAAATTAAAAAGACTAAAAATTCCTGCGGAAGACAGATAATTTCCAAATGACTGAAACTAAGCATTTGTGAGTTTTCTTGTAAACCTATCTAGTTTTTCGTAACAAGAGATAGAAGCAAGTGTTTCACCTCATTACAAGTGTCAGATAGTGATCCGCAAATGTACGTATTTTGTTTTTTTCTATTGTGTTCTATTGTTGAAAAAGTTGAGTTTTTTTCTTCTTACGGAGAAAAACGAAATTAAAAGATGAAAAATACATTCTTATTTATAAGCTTTTATTATCATGAATCAGTAGTAAACGAAAGTAAATACCATATCCGGAATCAGCGTCGAAAACTGTGTCGAATCATATATGTTTCAGTACAAAATATTTCCAATCGAAAACTCACCTGTGGTCCCCCTCAGGTCAGTTTTTCCGAAATCTCTCCCCTACTCCCCCACAGATCGTTTTTTCGTTGAAAAATAAATTTAGCAAAACATATGCGATTTTATGCACTTTTTGACGCTGATTCCGAATATGGTATTTACTTTCGTTTACTACTGATTCATGATAATAAAATCTTATAAATAAGAATGCATTTTTCACCTTTTAATTTCGTTTTTCTTCGTAAGAAGAACAATACTCAACTTTTTCAACAATAGAACCAGTAGCGAATCCAGGATTTGCGAGTATGTTGTATCTCCGTTTCAGAACTTGGGATCCAGATGAAACTTATGGAGGATGATATGGGACCCAAATGATGAACTTTTCAGAAAAAGATTTTTGGANGAAAAGTTCATCATTTGGGTCCCACATCATCCTCCATAAGTTTCATGTGGATCCCATGTTCTGAAGCTGAGATACAACATACTCGAAAATCCTGGATCCGCTACTGAATAGAACACAATAGAAAAAAACAAAATACGTACATTTGCAGATCACTATCTGACAATTGTAATGAGGTGAAACACTTCCTTCTATCTCTTATTACGAAAAACTAGATAGATTTACAAGAAAACTCACAAATGCTTAGTTTCAGTCATTTGGAAGTTATCTGTCTTCGGCAGAGAGTTTTAGTCTTTTTAATTTGAAACCCAAGAAAATATCATTGTTCTACTCAATTTTCAATGCTGAATCGGAATAAGATGTTTTCGAAAAGTTTGAGAAAGTAGCGTAATTGAAATTTAGCAGTTTCTTTAAAAAACTGAATTCACATTTGCCAAAGCAACATTTTCAGTCATTCTTGTTTTTCAGCATTTTTCCTGCCAAAACAATGATCTTATCGCGATAAAAAAATATATATTCGTGATCAGCTCTTCAAGCTCTATCAAACCATATATTAATGAACGAGAAAAACGATTTGCTCAAATTTTGAATTACGCCCACCTTACGTAACCATACTTTTCAAATATTGGTCTTATTTATGAGAATACATCTTTAGTTTCCGTCTAAGAGTCAAATATCATACTAGCTACTCAGAAAGTACTTAGGAAATGTTAAAAATAGTGGCGAATATACTTTAATTCCTTATATAAATGTTAAAGAGATTTTCTCGCTATATAATCGGAAAGTAAAAATTAGTGCCTTACATTTCTCTGGCATTTCATTTTTCTTCAACTAATATTATAGTAACTTATTATTCTGTGTTGCGATAATTCTAGATCATATTTTATCTTCAATAGTATGAACCTCTGATTAATGTTCGCTTTGTTCTTCTCACGTTTTTCTCGTCTTCACTGATGTTTAGCCGTATGTATATATATAGTAGGGTATATAAAAGGTAGTGGCGGTAGAACAACAAAGAAATGCAGAAGCAAGTTTATCAAGTTTTTACTGAAATGATTCTCCGAAGCTGACATCATAGCATTTTCTGTTATTCCAATTTAATTAAATATGATCTAAGCGATTGCAAATCGTAGAATCGTGCTATAAACAAAGTCATAAATATTTTGAATAATGAAGAGTATTAAAAAAAACATTTAATAAATGGATTCAACAAATGCAATTGAGTGTTAATAATAATCCGAACGATTATTTCAAAAATTTAATAAAATAAAGACTTAATGAACTTTTTTTTGTATCTTTTTTTGTATTCTATTGTCACCACTTTTGCCTCCTGTAATATCTATAGACGGCTAGACATCAGAAGAGACGAGAAGCGAATGTGATCTAATATTTTACCGTCATATATTATAATATGTAGGTGGCTCTTATCGAAATTTTATTCTTCTAATATTAGTTGAAAAAGACGATAAAATATCACAGAAATGTAGAGAATTGTTTTTTTTTCACTATCAGATTATATATAGAGAGTTTCTTTAAGACTTTTTTAAAGAAATAAAATACTTCCGCCACTACTTTTGTTACTCCCTAAGTACATTCACTATAGACCACACATTTTCTTCTTATTAATACAAAAGTATATTTAGCATTTAAGTTTTTGATGAAACATGAAACTTCTATTTTATTTGATGAGAACATCAGACAACCATGTCATACATTGGATAAATGGAAAATAAACTTCCAGTTCAAATATATTTATTAACTATTCTAACATAAAATACAGTGTTCTAATCCATACAATATCCTAACAATAGAAATATTCCAACTCTCTTTAACTATATCAAAAATTTATTAGAATATTAAAAAACAATTATACACAAGCTTACCATAATAACACAATATATTACAAATTGAAATTTTTTTTTTGTTGAGTTATAAATATGTGATTTTATTTATTAAAAATATTTTCTATTCGATATTATATTAATTTTAGTGTCAACAAACATACTAATAATAGTTGTCTGTAACGTATTATGCTTGACAAAAACAATAATTATTAATGTTTTAAACATTTGGAATGTGTTTTATTTCTTAAAAAGAAAATATACAAGTCATATTAATTGATACATTTCGTTTATCCGTCATTATTGAATGTCTTAATGAACAAGATCAGAAATTAGCTAAAGAGAGCCACTATGTCATTGTCGGTTCGTTAAGCATTTGCCTTGCCTCTTCAGCATACGGTCTACTACCCTTCTAACTCGTCTCATCTCGTCCAAAAATTAGAACGCTTTGAGAGACGAGATTTTTTCTTTGGAAATTTTTCAAGCATCCTAGTTCAACCCACAGATGGTCGTAAACAAATTTACGCCAAGAGATACAACGGTTTACATGACTCTGCATGCCTATCGTATATGTCTCTTTTAGATATAAAGAATAAAAAAGATGATATTAAGTGACAAAAATGCTCCGATATTGTTTCTTGTACACAAAAGACATGTCAAATTTCTGTTTTGCTTTATATTTCTTCATAGATGATCTTATTTCTCCGCATTTTTTCATTGAAATATATGATTGCAGTCTTGAATTATATGAACCATCGAAATGTGGATTGTATACAATGCCATAATATAAGTATATACAGACTCTGTATTATTCGTCTTGAATATCCATTGCAATCAACCTTTCGTTTCTATGACAATTGAAAATAAAGTGAATAAGAAGAACATGCAGCCTATTTCAAAATTGACAAATCTTATGACAGTCAATCATTTATATAAATCTATTTGTATTTCTAAAACGCAGATGATATCGCCAAGAGACTTGAATTAGCCATGAAATTGTAAGCAGCTTTGTTACTGCTTCTTGATGCAGCCGTATAACATTACGACTAACGGTATTATTCGACCAGAATATTTTGATTATACTCTATAAATATCCATACCCTAATAGTTTCTACTTATCCTAAAGCCTTTACTTTCGCTTGACAAATAAAAATATTTTTGCCATCCATATTGTGATTTTAATCATTGATGCCTCATATATTCCAATGTTATGTCTATCATATTTACACTCGATTAGTTTCTATTGTATATGAAGATACACGCAAACTGTATAGAAGATTATGTTAAGCTTAGCAATCATATGAATGAATACAATAGATAAGAATATGCTTTGCGTGTTACAAAAATATATTATTCTGCTGCATGCTTTCACATTCATAGTAGAAGTATGAATGTAATATGTGATGGTACAGATCATTTCTTATTTATTAAGTTCGTTCTTTTCGGAAAATTTGATTCAATCTACTCTCGCTTTCTAACACTAGATATGCAAACGAGCCAAACTGTTTTAGGATTTCCGAAAAATGAATGTGGACGACTTTCTACTAGGATAATTACATTTTTTTTTCTTATTTTTCTCATGCTTGACAGAACTAAGTCATAGCAATGATTGCAGCAGTTACAAGAGCAACAGTTCTTCGTAAAAATCTATAATCGAGTCATATTGTTGTATTGTAATCGACTCATCTGTAAGAAAAAGACGATGATGATGATGGTAGTAGTGATGGTGATGATAGTGTATTTCTCTTTTTTTTTCTATTTACCCCAGAGAACACTATGATAGTTCCGATAGAGAACAAAAAAAAAGCAAAAACTTATTTTAACACGCACAGTCGTTTTCTGTCAGTTTATTGTATGATGTTAGTAAGAGCTAGTGAGTATTTGAACTTTCCTGCTGTCGTCTACTTTCATCTCTCGACGTCGGAACACGAGAAGAGCAAAAAAGAGAAGAATAGCAAAAAAAATGTTGGATGTTATTAGAACACGCGATAAAAACGCCTACTTTGTCTTCACATTAGAGCTTATGCTTTTTCTAACTACTATTGCTTATCAACTGGGTGTCTGAGATGATAGTAATAAAAAAATGAGAACCACCAAAAACTAACTGTGTTCAAACAATAGAACACAAAGAAAGTATATGTCGATAAAAGAGCAAGAAAAAGTAGATGAAATATTCTAGTAAAGCAATGAGAATAAAATATATTCGCCAAAATTTTGTTTTCATTGTCATTGAATGACGACGTTGTTCAATGGTTCACTGATTGACTTCCTCTCTATTTCTATGTATCTCGTATGTACTTATATGATTTACTACTTTTTTTTTTTTGATATAATATATAGGACAAAGAGTCGATCTAAATAGCGTCTCCCGAGGCATGTTGAAACTCTAATAATAGAGTATAGATCAGTTTATTGATTAAGTACAAGAAAACAACAGAGAAAATATAAAATGATTAGATAAACATTTGTATTTTCTATAGCTACGAGTCGAACATATAAATACCAACAAAAAAAATTTTTTTTCATTCATTAGGACAGGCACTTCTCATTTTCGTTTGTAGATATAAGAGAATGACACATTGTCATTCTCTACTTTTTTGGCATTTTGATTAATGATGCACATAGAATCTGTCAGACATTTCTAACTAAAAAGAACCTGTTCTATATCACGCTGAAAAAAAAACTGAACGCAGAAAATTTACTTAAAAAAAAAAAGAAGGCATAAGCGCAATTTTTCCAATATTAGCAATTGAAAGAGAAATCATAGTCAATAAACCTATTTTGACGAGTGCTTTTTTATGTTCGTCATCATTAATCTACAAAAAATAAAGCTCAACATCATATATTCTGTGTCTCATTCGCTTTTTTTTTCTGATATGTCAATCGTTCAAAGTTGTTGGATTCATAAATGACATTATAATTGACGACGTGAACAACAAATCTTTATTTTTATATCAAGAATGGTATCAGGACCCGTTAATAATCATCATAATCCCGATGCCTATACAAACGTAATGCAAGGCCAAGCATTATTGAATGGTAATCAATTACCAAAAATAATTTGGAATCAAATTAAAATTCTTATTATATCAAATAAAGATGGTAAGAAAAAAAAAACTACAGTAACAACAATAACAAATATGAAATAAAATATATTTATCTTTCTTCTTTCATTTAGAATTTGATATTGAACGTGATATGTTAGTAACAGAAACTTTACCAAAATTACAACAATATTTTTTAACACAAGGCATTTATGTTTATTTTATTGATTGTAATTTAAATTGGAATTTTGATTTATCAAAAAATCCATATCATATATTACGTTATATGAAAGATATTAAAGATGCTTATCAAACATCAACTGGACATTTTTTATTAACTTTTGTTGGAAATAAATATGGTCAAATTGTTTTACCTATTGAATTATCAACTATTGATTTTAATAATATAAAAAATTCTGCATCTGATTTAGGCAAAGGTAAAATAAAATATTATCTTATAATATATTTAATTAAAATATTATTTATTAGATATTAAGTTACTTGAACAATGGTATTTATTAGATGATAAACTTTTTCCACCAGTATATAAATTAAAAGATCCAGATGAAAACTTTTCAAATATTCCATCACGTTCAATATCAACATATGATATAAATGCATGTGAAAATCAAGAATGGAATGATGCATATCTTAATTTAGTTGATCTTTTTTTAAGCGTTTTAAATGAAAAATCAAATATAAAATCTATGTATGATATTCAACTACTTTCATGTGTAGAAATGTTATTTAATTATTCGATTAAATTATCTCCATCTGGTTCTATGTGTATTTTAAGACAGCTTGATGGTATGTTTTCATTTATTTTAAGGTTTCTTAAATAAAACACACAAATAAAGAGAGAAAGAAAAAAACAAGATTCTAAAAAACATTGTTTTCTTTTTTCTATCGTTTATTTTTTCTATGAACACAACAAAACATCTTTCGTCATTTTGACATCTAATTTAGAACTCCTTACAACGTCAACATTCATCTTATTTCTAATCTGCATACATCAAATTTATTAAGCATTTTGTCTCTTGAGATATCTATTAAGAAACTTCGAAACAAAGAAAAATCAACTAATATCATATCTCATAATTATGATTAAAAATAAGAGTAATTATTTTCAAAAGTCTTTTTTTTTTTTACATGATTTCATTGAATAATTTGAAGTAAACTGAATCGAATATTTAACTATATTGTCTTATTAAGAGAATAAATTTGGTTTAATTTAGTAAATTTTGCCTAACCTTTGTTGTGATAAAGGTTTTTTCCGTTCAGGCACAATAAATTTCTTCATTCATTCGAAATGAAATCCACATCAAGATAATCTAAATATGGGACAAATGTTCATTATTACTACTAGACCTTTCCAGAGAAAAAGTTCAAATTCAATAACATTGAACTTTTTGTTTTTTTTTGTAGTTTCTTGATCCCAACAATTAGAGTACAAAGTTTGATAATCTCTGCTTTAAGATTTATATAGTTTTCATCTATATTTATTTACAGAAAAAAATAAAATAATTAAATTGACTTCTTTTTTTGCTACCTATCATAGAGTAAAGTTTACAGTATATGTTAACAATATTATTTCAAAATAAAATGAAAAATATCTAAATACAAATAGGAATCTTTATCTCTTCAATGTTCAAAATAACTTAACTAGATAGATTTTCTATATTGAAAAAAAGAAAAATTTAATGTAAAATTATTATGATTATTTATATGAAAATAATTAATTTTCACACTTTTTTTTTTTATTTCTGTAAAGGTTTAAATGAAAAAAGTAAAGGTAATGAACATTATATTGATTTACTTCCTGGTGGTCGTTTGGATAAGATTCGTCAAGAAAAATTAAAACGTTTTCGTGAATCTATAATAAATAAATTATCAAATAATAATGATAATAATGATTTTAAAATTGAAGAGAATCGTACTATACTTAATATACCATGGAAAGATAATGGTGAAATTCAATCTGATGATTCTGATTATCAACGTTATTTGCGTACATTAAATGCATCAATATTTTTACGTATTAAATCATTAAATCAACATTTTAATGATTTATCTATATTAAATCATTTTAAAAATTCTGAACAAATTTTTTATAATGAAATTCTTATACATTTAACATATTATTCAAAATATTCATTATATTCATGTCTTGGTTTTGATTATTTTATTGAAAATAATTATTCATTTAAACAATGGTTTACATTAGCAAATACAAATGAACATTATCCATTTATGATATTTGGTAGTCGAGCATCAGGAAAAACATTATTATGTACAAAAATAGTTCAATATCTTTTAAATAATTTAGAAAAAAATGTTCAATGTATAATACGTTATTTTAATTTAACAACAAAATCACGTAATATTGTTGAAATATTTTCATCAATATGTACACAAATGAGTTCATTTGAAAATGCACCAATATTAAATAATGAACAACAAATTAATTATATTGAATATTATCAAACTATTTTAACAAGTTTATCAAAACAACAAAAACCATTTATATTAATGATTGATGGTATTGAAGAAATATCACCAACAAGTCAACATATATCATCTATTGGATTTTATCAAGCATTACTTCAATTACTTCCACCGAAAGTAATCAGTTTTATTAGATCATTTGTAAATTAATATATTCAAGAGAAATGTGTATTTTTCACTAGTTTTTTAAAGAATTTCCCTACGAATAGATGTCTTACTATTCGATTAGAATCATACTGATAATAAAATTGATGTTATTCATGCTTAAGTTAGCATTAAACAAAAGAGAATATCAGGAACTGAATGCGAACCAGTATAACAATAAAATGCTTTAAACATATCGATAAAACCAGAAAATAATTTGAAAAACTCAATTTTCATGAAAATTTTGCTAAGTTTGGTATCATAAATGAACCTATTTTTGACTATAACCAAAAAAACACTTGGTCTGCTCTCGTTTAATTTTTCATCATTTGAAAAAACCAACAAAATGAATCTTAAAAAATTTCATAGTACAAGTTCATGATAGACTCAATAGTTTTTAGTAGGTCGATATGTTTTTTTTGTATTTTGTTTTTTAATTTGTTCTTTAGAGGTTGCCGAATGCCTATGAAATAGACTTTTTGAATAAGAATATATAAATATACTTCAAAAGTATTATCAATATTAATTGTAGGATGAGATATTCATTTTTGACATGGCGAATTACTTTCTAAAAATATAAATTCCATTATGAAAAGATTCTCTAAACGTCAATTATGTTGACAGTTAAATATCTATTAACAAAGAAATGAAATTAGTCAAAGTTAATTCATGTCTTTCTTTTTTTTTAAAAAGAATGTGAAAATGTCAAAATAAATATAAGTAGATTAACACTATTTTCTTTGTAGCAACGTATTGACAAAAGTAAAATATTGAATAATTTTCTTTAAATTCACAAAAAGAAAAAAATACATTTTTTCAGAATAAAAATAATCGAACTTTATTAAAGAATATTATTAAAAGAGAAAAAAAAATAATCCATCGATATGTTTTGTAAAACACTATCTAAAAGGAATGTTGAGATATAGAGATAAAAACTTGGATTCTCCACATACCATAACAGACATAATCATGGAAACATTACAGACCATGATGGATTGATGAAAAGATGAGTCCACATACGTAAGCACGAGAAGATTTCAGTACCTAAAAACTTATCACGCACAATAAAATGAAGATAACAGGTGTGGATGAGAATAAACAGAAGACTAATACCAACACTCATATAAATTAATTGATCTTTCAATAGACGTCATATTTACCTTCATTTATTTGCGTAGCTCACAGATCGTTTCAGATATGACTAATATACGATTCATTGACAAAGTCGAAGGATTAGAGAAGGTTCAGTCCTCCTAGTGATATTTTTCAAGGATGTATTTTTGCTGACATAAAAATGTATTAGTCTTTGCAATGAAAAGTTTTAACACAGGTCTAATTTTGTGGAGCTCATGTATTTTCTTTTCTTTGAAAACGTATATGAATTGTACAAAATAAGACACATGTGTTAGAACGTTTCATTGCAATTAAGACGAATACATTTTGACATCAGAAAAAAAACGCATCTTTCAAAAATCTCACTAGGGAGCTCAAAGGTTCGTAAGAGGAGCTGACAAGGAAATTTCTCAAAGTGTCAAATCATTTTTCGATCGAGACAATGTTCAATTGATGAGTGCTAGTGAGTAATAGAAAAGTATATAATGGTTTACTTTTTTCCGGACTTTCATTCTTGAGATATTGAAATTTGACTACGTTTTGGAATAAAAAGTTGCAGTCTTCCTTAGGTCAGATCAAAAATCGAGTTTCGACTTCAAACTTTGCACTAGCAAAGTCCTTAATGAGATTAGTTTATTATGTTTTAGCTTTTTTATTATTTTTTTTTTCTCGAGATGCAATTATACGAACAAAATTTCCTATTACAGATAAGAGAATTTCGAATATTGAGTATCTCAAGATAGGAGGTACTAGAAAGTTACAACTTGCCCAATGAACTAATTTTATTGAGAAGTTTGTTCATGTAAAGTTTAAAGTCGAAACTTGAAAGTCGATTTTGTATGTGACCTGAGCAGGATCACAGCTTTTCTATAGAAAATCCAGTAAAATTTAGCTATCTCAAGAATGAATGTTCGAAAAACTAAACCATTCTTAATTTTTCTATTACACGCTGATATTCATCAAATGAACATCATTTCAGTTGACGAAACGGCTGTGATTAGTAACAGTAGCTACACCATGTTTTGTATTTGAATGCTGTGTGAAATAGCACTAACTGTTTTTCTTTTAGGTTTATGTTATATTATCCGTGAGTCGAAGTGTTCATTTATCGTCTTCCAATGATATGCAAATTCGTGAAATGATTGAACGAATTGAAAAAGAAAATTGTCTAATTGAATTACCTTTTTTAAGTGAAGCAATAACTAGTCAAGATTTAACATCATATATAAAATCAGAATTAAATTCCATTCAACAAAATGTAAATGATTCAGCTTTACAAGCATTATCAAAATGTGTATATCAACAATTAGATAAACAATCATATATATTTTATCTTTTACGTCTTGTTTTACATGAAAGTTATTTAAGTTATTTATCACAACAAAAAAAACAATTATATTTAACAAATTTAAATATCGATGAAATACTTAATGCTTATATTGGTAAGATTAAATTTGAATATTGTTTTCTTTTTCTTTGTATTTATTTATTTTCTTTTATTAATTAAAAGATCATTGTGAACAAAAATTTGGTCGAAAAATTTGTTCATTTATATTTAATTATATTAGTTCATCACAATCAGCTATTGCTGAAATTGAATTACTTGATATATTATCATGTAATAATGAATTTTTTTTAGAATATTTTCCCAAAGATTTACCAAAGCATTTACGTTTTCCACCATCATTATGGATTGCAATTAAATATATCTTAGGTAATAAAGAAAAAAAATGGTATTCATTTAAAAACAAAAACAATTTATTTAGGTCCACTTTTATCTGAAAGATATTTTGATTTAAAAGTTGTTATTTGTTGGAGTCATTCATTTATTCGACGACATATGAAACAAAGATATTTAAAACGAGTTGAAGATATCAGAATTGCCCATCGAGACATTGCCAATTATTTTCTTGAAGCTTTTATTGAATCAAAACCATTGGTTGATATGAATCGAAATGTTCAAATTAGGTAATTAAAAAAACACAACAATACTAAAAAGAAAAGGATGTATGCATAAATGCAAAATGCATTCAACAGACTCTAAGTTGTCTGAAGAATATCAAAATATAGTGCGTCATATTCACATTAGTAGGTACATTAACACCGCAAGAGAAAATAAGCGAATTTTTAAGCATATTCGATAAGAAAAAAAAAATTCACCATTTATGATGTTTTCTTTACATGGTTAAAATAGCGTTTGCTAGTGATAAATCAAGAGTTTAGTCCTATTAATTCAAATTGATGTAGACGTTTAGTATGCATCTTTCCATGTTATACTCATTTTCAATGTGCTTCAGTAAAAATTCTGATTTGCTCTACATTTATGGTTTTCATTATGTATCGTGTCATAGTTGATCTTTTGATTCATATTAGAATCATAAATATAGAATTTATGGCGTTAAACTCATCAATTCTGATATCTTCTTACGATAAATAATTATACACTTCGCTTTAAGTTCATAGTTTTGCGTGTCAAATGAATGTAATGTCGTGACAATTAAACGACTAAAATAACATGCTCTTGTTAGTTACGACTATAAATGTTAACGGAATTTTATAAATGTTAAATTTGTTCTAGTTGAACTTTTATTGAAATTTCAACATGAAAATAAAATCAATTCCATAATTTCGAAGAGCTTCTACTAATAAAATCCATATAATTGTATTTAACTATGGCAAAATTATCTTTAAAAATATTTGTACGTGTACAAAGTAGATGTATATGGTCGATTCAGCAAGAGAAATATGCCAATTGTTACTGTCCACTTGAGTTCATATTGGATCCATAAGAAAGTCTTGGTGAGACTAGAAAATGTCTAAAAGGATTTGTCCCCATGAATCTTTGGAGCAGTGTTTGAGTCATTTCCCTGAAATTTTTATCCGATTTTACGTGTTTCGAATTCAATATCTTGATAAAAGAAAATTCTTTTCGGTTCAAAATTGTAGTATATTCTAAAAGTCGTTAAACTTGTTCATAGGTAAAATTGCAGGTTGAAATTCTGTTAATGGGTTTTTCATTGAGTACCTAAAAATGGGTCGAAAATTCAGTAGGACAGTCGTATCTCGGTTCCAAAGGTTTCTCAGAACAAAAGTTTTTAGACTTTTTCTAGTCTTACCAAAACCTTCTTGTGAGCTCAATACGAGTTCAATAGGCAGGTTATATTTCAAGTAGTTTCCTCGTAGGGAATTACTAAATGACAAACAGTAAATTTAAGAACTTGATAACTCTTAAGCTATTTGTTTAATTCCTTAAAAATAACTATTGGTCGTTTATGGGCCTTGAAAAATCATGAAATAACGAATTTCATAATCGATTTTTTTTTATTGAAACTCTTAATGCAATAGCACTACTTTTCATAATGTCATTTTCAATGCTCATTCAAATCGAGTAATATAAAACCAAGGAAATCTTGAATTTAAATAGCTCTATAAAATATTATCAATCTGTACGTGAAGAAATATCAACCGGAAAATACAAGAAAATGACATGGACTTGAAATTACGGACCCGGTAGTCTGCTCCTTCTGGTTACGAACAAAACTAAAATAATCTAACCACCGGAATCTGCTTCTAATTGCTTAATATTATCCGGAGTTTTCCGACCGGAAGCGCTGTCTTTCCTGTGTGAACTTGTACGAAGTTCACGAATCCAGGCGCCGGTTTCGGTGACCTGAGTTCTAAAGACTTCTTTGTCCTACCATTTAGAATTCACTTTGAGTTCCTAAAAATTTTTCTTTTCTTCTTTAATAAACTCTTATGTTTGTCCAGAGGAGATAGTGGTCGTCGTTTTATCTTACAACAACCACTTCTTTACTCGGAAACAACATATAATTATCGACGACTAGGTGAATTATGGTATCAATTAATGCATTCTGGTATTTATTTTCACTTTCGTTTTTTTTTTCTTTATCTCATATAAATACAAACGTTTTGTTTTATTATTAGGTGATATTGATCGTCTAAAAGAATATACATTATGTTGTTTTGAATATTTATTATCAAAAATTCATGGCCTATCAATTGAACAACTTCTATGGGAATTTGATATAATTTGTAGTAATATTCTTGATGCTGATGTACTTCTTGTACAAGCTACAATAAAAAATGTTGCAAATATTATTTCAAATGATCAAATGTTATTTGCTGGAGAAATTATTTTACGATTAAAAAATATTAAAAGTAAAGTTTTTGTTTTAAATATAGTTTTTCAATTATTTCTGTCTTTTTATTTTAGATCGTTATAGTGAACATATTGAATCTTTATATAGTCAAGCATATGAATGGTGTGAATCATGTGGTGCATCTGTATTTGTACCACTTTCATCATGGCTATCAACAATTCCACCAATGATAATTACAATTTTACCATGTAATGATGGAGCATTTAAAATAGCTCCAACAACATTTAATCAACATGTTTTTTGTACAACACGACATAATGAAATAGCTATGTATCATATACCATCAAAAAAACTTGTTAAAAAATTTACTGGTATGATTATATAGAAATAAAATGATTAAATATTTTTCTATTAATTTAGGTCATACGGAATTAATAACATCAATTCGATTAACATATAATAGTAAATTTTTAATATCAGCATCAACAGATCGAACTATAAAATTATTTAATCTTAATTCAGGAGATTTAGAAAATACTTATAAGTAGATAGTTTTTTTTTTTCGAATTTGAATAGAAACATAAATTTTTTGTTTTTAGTATTCATCAAGATGAAATACTTTGTATGACAGTTTCACATAATAATGAACAAATAGTGACTGGTTCATGTGATCGATTTATTGTTGTAATTCGTCTTGAAACAGGTGAAGTTGAACATTCAATAGAACAACATACAGATGCTGTTACAGCTATTGCTCTTACACAAGACGATACTATTTTAATTTCAGGTTTGTTAAATAAAAAAGAACAAAGAAAAATAAGGAGAGAACTGTCCCTTTTGCAACCCACCGTTTAAACCTATATTGGATAACACCGACAGGAAACCATTAGAGACTTCAGTCTTGAAGTCTTCTCTAATCTTAAAAGGTTTTTTAAACTTTTTGAGTTGTAGCTCTTAATGTACGTTGAAGTCTCTATGTTTGAAGTAGAGTCTGCCGAATTGGTCCCGGGCTCGTAACCGATCGGGTCCGGATCAGAAAAGTTTGAACCTGACGGGATCAAGCTTGAAGTCTGCTGTTTCTTTCTCATTGGATCCATAAGAAGGTCATTATAATTCTAGAAAAAATCCTAAAACGGTCTGTTTCAATGAGTCGTTGTACCGAATTTTCGATCCATTAGTAGATATTTATCGGAAAAACCACTAAATAGAATTTCGTCCATAGATATGTCAAATAACCCTTAAAATATACTGAAACTATCAGCAGAAAAAAAAATGTTCATTTGCAGAGATATTGAATTTCCAATAAATAGTCACTTGCCGCCGACATGCCACAAAAATTGAGTTTGCTTAAAAATATAATATTTCGACAAAGGAACATTCTGTTCAGTGAAAACTTTTAGGATATTCTAATGGTTACTAAACCTATCAATAGACGAAGTCTCAGATCGAAATTCGAATTAGTGGCTTTCCAATTAACACCGAAAACTGGGCTGAAAATTCAATAAAACACCTATATGTTAGCTCCAAAGACTCACAGAGACGAACTTAATTAAGAGGAAAAGTGTGACTTCAATACTCCGAAGTACTGCAGCCGTGGCTTTTTCCTTCCATTGGGATGAACCCTTGGAGGTCTTCTCTAGTCTTATCAAAAACTCATAGTGTGCTCAATGTGATCTCAAACGATGGCTTACAGTTGGAATAGTTCTCTCGTAAGACAGATTTGCTTATTGCTTGTCTTTTTGCTTTTAGCTTCACGCGATCAAACTATTAAACGGTGGACTTTTCGTGGAATGCAATTAGTTAATACAATCGATAAAATAGGATCACCTATTAGACATATGATTATTTCAACTGATGATACATTTATTATTGTTGCTTGTGATGATACATCAGTTCAAGTTAAATCACTTGTAACTGGAAGTGATATTCATAATCTTGAAGGACATTCATCAGAAGTTAGAGAAAATATTTCAACTTCAATGGAATTTCTTTCTTTCTTTCTTTGTTTGTTTGTTGTTCAATAATAGGTTACAAGTCTTTCAGTATCACATGATTCAATGTGTTGTTATGTTGGTTGTAGTAATGCACATATCTATGTTTATAATCTTCGTTCACGTGTTCTTCTTCGAAAATTAAATTATCATGATTCATCAGTCAATGATCTTTATATATCAACTGATGATTATTTTCTTTTCTCAGCAGCCGAAGTTAGTTTCAGAGAAATTTCTTTTTATTACTTTGTATATAAAAAATAAATTGATTTATTTTAGAATGCAATACATGTTTTGAATGTTAAACAACAATTTAATGATTTTTCTGGTAATGATTTATCATCATCATCATCCTCATTATCATCAGATTCTATAACAGCATTATCAATATCACGTGAAGGTGATGTAGCTATAGCTGGTTGTGCTAGTGGTATTGTTCAATTATTTAATTTAATCAATGGTGAATTTACTGAACAAATTGTTGATCATCGTGCACCTGTGACACAAGTTGCACTTTCACATTCATATTTATTTTCATTATCTGGTTCAAGAGATACAACAGTTAAAGTTTATGATAATGAAATGGGAGAAATTGTTGCTGAATTTACTGTAAGATAATTATTAAGAGAGAAATCGTTAGACTATTGAGTATACGAGAGACTCAATAAAAAAAAAAAACCTTTTTTTTTGGCTTTTTAGTCAATGCTGACTTTTTACTATCATCAGATTCTTATGAAAAAAAGACATCAATACCCTGTAAAAGTTGTGCTCGTTTTGTCTATACAACAATTTTTGAATAGAATAAAAAATATTTTTATGGATTTTTCATTGCTATAAAACGATTGTAAGGCAAAATAAATATGTTATTCAGAATCAGCGTCAAAAACTACATTGAACCGAATGCAAATTAGTTGAACTTATTTCTTGTAGAAAATTCGTCTGTAATATCTCCCACGACTCTGTTTTATTAAGGTTTTGTTTCGTGATCTTCGAGGATCAATTTTTCCCAGAAAAAACTATATTTGATTCAATTTAGTTTTTGATGATGCTTTCTGAAAATCGCTAAAAATTGTTTTTATCTTTTGAAAAATCATCATAATATTGAATGCACGAAAAAAAAACGGAAAAAGCTTTGGTATCAAGTGTCTCATATACTCGCCAGTCTTACGATTTCTCTCGTAATTAAATATTCTTTAGCAAAAGAAGAAGACTTGTTTTTTTTCTATACTAGGCTCATTCAGCTGCAATATCACACTTACGTATATTAGAAGATAATCGAAAGATTTTATCAAGTGATGAACAAAATTATATAAAAACATGGTGGGCAAATACCGGTGAATTGATTGATTCGGTAGATAAAAATCTATAGATAATATGAATATAAGAATTTGTCTTTATATTGTGTTTTTTTAGTACAATGTCCCATGTAAAATGCTCGGTGTTTCTCCTGATGGAAAATATGTTGTATCAGGAAATGGAGATAATATGTAAGGATTCTCTATAAAAAAAAAAAAAATAGTATATTTATATTTTAATAAATATAAATTTAGTTTAAAAATTTGGTCATTGGATGATGCACGTGTTGTACGTTCAATTGATCATACAGAAGGAAAAATTACATGTATGGCTTTTCGAACAGATTCACAATATTTAGTTACAGGTGGTGAAGATTTTAGTTCTAAATTATGGGAATTATCATCGGGAAAATTAACACAGGTAGAAGAAAAGAAAACAAATATAAAGATTTTTAATATAATGTTTTAAGGTTCTTGTTGAACATGAACAATCTATTTCAGCTGTAGTAATCAGTGAAGATGGAAAACATGTTTTAACAGGTGACAAAAGTGGCGAAGCAATTATTTGGTCATTTAAAGACGGTAAAAATTATTAAGAAAAATAAATTTAACATTTAGAAAGACAGAAATAGTTGAAAAAGAAATTGAATAACATTTTTAACAATTCAAACAAGTTATATAGAAGATTCTTCTAAATTTACATTTTATCTTGAATTAAAATATATAATTATATTCGTTTTAAATTAATTTCATCTGCAATTCAAAAAAATATTTTAACAAAAAACTTTTTTCAGGGAACCTATTTCATCTCAAATAAAACAACGATATCGTCTTGCTGCTATCTTCAAATAACATTTCGTAAAAATATTCTTTTAGTGATGGCATCAAATCACAGTATAATCATTGCATACTATGCAGTAAGATTACATTGCGAAGACTTATTGACATATTTATATAGTAGGATAATGGTAAAATAAGACTTTTTCGATAAAATCTTTAATAAGTTTTTGAAAGTTTTTCCAGTATCTTTATTATTGATTATCTACTAATCTAGTAAACTTTAATTCCTATCGAAATTATTCTAGGAGCTGTTGTACATAAACTTATGAGGCATAAAAATGCCATCGTTTCCGTCTCATTTACTACTGACAGCAATATTGCAATTATTGGTAAAAACATATTTTAATTAACATAAACTCTTTTTTTTTTAAATAATTACTTTTATATATCTAGCTTCTCAAGATGGTCTTCTTTCTGCTTGGTCTACTATAACTGGCATACATCTAGCTACATTTCATTTTAATCAAAATCTAGTTAAATTACTTGTTTCACAAAGTGGAGGTATAAAGAAATCAATAGTTTCATTAATTAAATCTTTATTTTTTTTTTTTTGTGTGTCTTGTAGCTCGTTATGCAGCAATTCTACAAAATTCACCATGTGTTGCTATGCTTAGTCTTTTCAATATACCATTTAGTGATGCATCGAGAATGGCACAACGTCATAGTCAGAGTATGTTATTAATTATATATCGAAAAACAAAACATATTTGCATGAAATTTGTTATTTCAAGTGTTTTCAGATATACACAATACAATATTACCAATAAAACCCAAACCATTACTTTATCCAAAAGATTCAATGATCTTGACTGATTCTCGAGAAAGTTCAAAAATTGATCAACTTGGTGGCGATTTGATACTTGTAAGTTTTTCTTGTATCAATTTTCAATTATATTTTGTTTCCTCATGAAACCAAAACAAAAGTCTTTTCTCAGCATGAGATTATCAACAATTATGAAAGAAAAAATGTTCCATTTAAATCTATTCATCTGTATATGTGACATTTGCATGTTGGGAATATCAATGATGCAGATTCTTGTTTGTTTTTTGAATGTTTATATATATGTGTTGCACCAATAGTAGCCTCCTCCCCCTCTACGCGAATGACTTTCTCGGTTTCAATCTTCGTAAAAACTTTTCAAGTTTCTATTCCTTTCACAGTTTTGAAAAAGTATCATTACCATACACTAGCTTTTCACACCATTACATTTTGTGCAATATGGCACAGCTTATAATTTAAAAATAAAATTATTTATAGAAGTATAGTTGATTAATTATTCAAAAATGAAAATACTTTTACACAAAAATATTTTAATCCTTATAAAAATAAGACAGAAAAAAAAAACTTTGTCGCATCAATATTTAAAATCATTACAAATTCCCATGAGAAACAATATGAAGGAAAAGAAAGTTTCCTCCGAACACTAGCACATAGGCGATATTATCATCATGTCCTATATTGATCGATTGATATTAAGCAAGAAAAGAGAAAAACTATACAATAAGTCGTACAATTACCATTAATTAAGAGAAGACAAAAAAAAGTATATGCCTCATAGGCAAAACACAATAACGAAACAAAAACGACGCCATTGACAATGACAACATAGCTTAGGCTATATTATATATAGACATATATAGGATGACAAGCGACGTGTTCATATACTCGTATATATATTTGTGTTGACTTACTATTACTAAGCAATTAAGTAGAACATGACGGCATCAATGTCGTGTTATTCTTGATGCCAATCTGCATTTGTTTGGTGTTTTTTTTCCGATTCATCTGTTTTCTTGTTTGACGAGAAAAACAACGTCTTTCTATATTATCAAAAAAAAAAAAATCTTCATCCATTATCAACATAGGTGTTTTTCCTCTCTATATATGCATGTATTTTGCAAGCAGCATTTTTTTTTCTTTTGCTGATACTAACTCGAATATCTATTCATATCTATTCTTTTCTCCCGGAAAGGAAAAGAAATGAGGTAATTAGACAAAATTCAACATTATAAATTCATACTACTTTACTCTACGGAAGGAAACTCGTCTTTTAATAAACAAAAAGAAAAACTGTGTTCAAAAAAAAATATGATTGAGCAAGACAAACATCTCTTTATTAATCCACTGAGAATAATGACAGTAAGACATTAAGTGGCGATAGATATATAAAAATAATCTTATAATATGGACTGTATGGATACAAAAAAAACATCTTTATGTAGATAAAATCAGATATAAAGATTATAACAATGAATATAGAAAATTTCGAATATGATACTCTCTATATAATCTTAACATCCAATATATGCAATGGTCCTGTGATTAAATTTATTATTCGTTTCCATATTCTATATCCATGGTTATTATTTCCATTTGGTTTTATTGGTTCATTATTAACAATATTAATATTTACAAGGAAAAAATTTCAAAGATTTGGTTGTTCAATATTATTTGTTGCAGAAAGTGTTATGGTAAATATTGTTAAAAATTTCGGTTTTTTTTTGTGACTCAAAGTAAAAAACGTCTTTAGTTTTTTTTTAGGATTTATTATTAATTACAATAAATTGTATTCATCTTATTATACTTTATACATTTAAATCTTATTTTTTTCAACGTACTATTTATTTATATCGACTTTATAAATTTTCAACAAATTATTTTTCCCATTGTGCCGTATGGATTTTATGTGTCATATCACTTGAACGAGCTGCCGTCACACGACATTCTGTTTGGAGTCAAAATGTTTTTAATCGTAAACATTCATATTGTACATTAGTTATCATATATACATTATTATTTTTTCTTAATATGCATTATTTAATATTTTTTCATCCTGAACCAGTAAAATCCAGTGTATGTATTTATAATGAAACAGAAAAAAAATTATCAAATATGCGTAGTACAAGTTCAATTGGAGCATCTGTTGTCGTATATAGTTTCTATTTGAAATTTCTTTCATCTGGAATGGATTTTCTTATAAATTCTTTAATACCATTTATAATAATCTTAATAGCTAATGCAACTGTTATGTATTCTGTTTGTAAATCCAATATAGAAATGAAAGAATTAGGTTTAAGACAAACACGTTCACCACGTGATACACAATTGGCATATATTTTATTTGTATCAACATTACTTTTTCTCTTATTAACATTTCCGTTACGAGTTTTTTCTGTTATTGAACCATATTTGAAATATGATAAAGAATATTTAATTTTATTGGATGGTATTATGAGATTTTTATTATATCTTGATCATGGATGTGGATTTTATTTGTATACATTCACTGGCGAATTATTTCGTCGTGAATTTAAAAGATTTTTTAATGACTTTTTATTTTTAATTTTTCGATCACGTTTTTATAATTCGTCAACAATTGAATCTCGTCGTCAAAGTGAAATAAGTGGTTCAAATGGTGTTTCTATTTTTGTACAAATAGTATATTCTACTCACCACCAATCTAATCAGCAAGAACAACATGGAAATGATAAATTAAAAGATTCATCAAATAATTGTGGAACAAATAAATCATCGTTGCATCCATTACAATTACAGAAAACTTTCTATAAAACACCATTTCATCCACAATGTGCTTATAGTAGGCCGCGTCAAATTCGTTCTTTTTCAAGTTCACCATCCCATTCAACAGTGATTCCTAATGACGAACAGAAACGTTTATTTAAAATGAATACTACTAATAATAATGATACTAACCAAGTCCGTGTTGTTAAACGACATAGTTTATCTTGTTTTGATTTTCCATTTCAAACTTTAACAGTATCAGTGACATCATCAAATAATCTAGAGTGAAACAGGGATATGGTTTAAGTCTTTCTTTTTGTTTGTTGTATTTTGTGTGATTACTTTTAAGAAAATGAAAATATCTGATTGTTGAGTTTTTCTTTTCTTTTATAGCCAGATCCAATGAGTAAATCGCAAAGTAAAGAATTTTTCAAGAAAAAACAACGTGGTCAAAATAAAAAGAATAGTTCTACTGCTGTTGGTATTGGTATTGCTGGTTCAGCAATGAGCAATGTGGTACAAGGTAAAACATATCATATTCAAACATCTCATGGAAGTACAGCTGGTTTGCTTGTCGGTGGTGAAGATCCAGCTGTTGTTGTTATTAGTCCACATCCACCTCCAACAATACATCAAACAAAAGAAAAACGAACAAAAATCTGTTGTTTATTGTGAAAAAAAATTTTTGAACATTGTCTTCTTATGTTTTTTTTTTTCATCGAGAGATTTTCTGTATTTAATGTAATCATATTGTTACAATGTGTCATTGAGAACTGTATTTCGTAAACGAATAATCAATAGAAAGTCATCTTTTTAATGAGACATTAATTTAAGATGATGAACAAATTTGTTTTTCTTTTTATATCATTAATAAATGAAATACTGTTATTTTTAGGTCACATGCTTTTTCGCAAGAATATTTGTAATATAAAAAAAGAACTGCTATTGAGTCTTGTTTAAACTTTTTTTTATTGATTTTTATTTTATGACTTTTTTCTTTCATTGTAAGCGAAAACATTTCATCGCATGTTTTTGGGATTGACATAAAGAAACAAGTATACTTAGAAAAATGAAGAATGAATAGATATAATCAATGAAAATATTTGAATCCCAAATTTTTTAGATGATTATCTTGCAATTTCGTCATTGGCAAAGAATGTATATGAATATAAAGAATTTGAAAAAAATTAATAACTTTTAAGCTAACATATTCTAAGATTAATTTCAATATAAACTACGCAAAAAAAGAAGTAAAAGATTCTACAGAACAATTTGATGAAATAACGGATTCAAGTACACTAAATAATCTCAATTTCAAAAAAAAATACATAATCTGCAAAGGAAGAACCTTTGTATAACGGATAATCCGTAATAAATGACCGGTTTTTGTATTTCATATTTTAATCACTAAATAAGTGTCATTAAACAAAAAGAATATACCGCAAGATGTAGCGTGAAAAGCTCTACAAAGTAAAGCTTATTTTAATTGTACTTTTTACTTTCAAGAGATGTGCGACCACTCTGTGCAGTATCAAAAAGTGGCTACACAGAATTTTGCTTGATTTGAAAACAAAAAGTACACAATTAAAATCAGCTTGTTTATGTAGATTGTAGAAATTTTCAAACTGCATCTTGTGGTGTATTTTATTTTTCAATAAAATGTATTTAGAGAATAAAATATGAAATGCAAAAACCGGCTTTTTATTATGAGGCATCCGTTATATCTTGCGAATCGTACTGTCTTTTTCTCATGATAGAAAGAGAATTACTCAAGTATTACACAATCAATTCGAATAAAAAGGATGAATCAATGATAACGTTAACAATGCCATTCCAGTGAGACTATCTCGGCTAAAAATGAAAGGGTTAATCCAGCCGGAGAAGGATATCAAGGATGTGATAAATATTATATTAACCATAGAAATGTTCTACACAATAAACCTAAAAGTGATTATTAAAAGACTAATTGAATTCTCAAGTGATTTTATATCTCTTTGGCGATTTTTTCTCATGCAACAGTTTTTATTAGCTGAATTAATGTAGCTATAGTTGACGACACATCAGTCAGGTATTAAATGATACATATTGAATTGCATATTTTTTAAATTTTTACAACATAAACAATTGTCACAAACGCGTCTGATGCCATAAATAGCGAAGACTCACATCTTAATGTTTAATAGCAAAAAACTGAATACAAAAGGCTCTTGACGATGACAAAAAGTTCTTTTGTAAAATAAGTAATAGAAATTTGATCACAAACTGATCTTATTAGTAACTAGACTATTTGATTGTTGTTTCTCATTCATTTAAACATAACATATACGGCAATACTCTCAAAATACCTTCTTCCAATTTCCATGAGCTTTCGCCTTTAGATACTAAATCACATTCTAGTGAAAACTGAAAAAGAATTTGAATCCCTATTGAGATTTAACTGATCTATTAAAATTTGTCTTGAAACTACTTTTATTTGAATATCACACGTACAGTAGTTTTTGAGAAGAACTTCAGAATTTGTTGACTTTTTCTCTTTAACATACGAAATCTACTAACATTGAAACTCTACATGGAAGCAGTTGTATAGTGAGAAGCTTTTTATCTGTGGACAATTTACCAGCAAACTGTTTTGAGGGGTAGATAGCTTTGGTCAATTGTCACTATTTTCAAAAACAAGTGAATAGGAGTTTTTTTCAAATAAATTTTGATAAAAACAAAATTGAGAGCTACTATTTTCGCTTTTAGAAAAAGATGATGAAGATGTATCGAACTGAATATTACAAGTTTTTTCGACCTAATTTTTTCCCAAGATTTTCAGTTCACTTTTTTTTTTTTGAAAACTAATGTAGCCAGTGAAGTGCCTATAGTAAGCTTTCAATTAGCAGGTGTGCATACGGATTGTCAATGAAAGATTTACAAAACTACGCAAACCTCAGATTTTTAGATTTAGTTATTCCGGTGCTATAGACATACTAGTCAAAATTCTCGACCATTTTTTTCAAGTAATCACTGTGAATAAAAATCAGTGTTGCTTTTATCTTATGTTAAAATGAAATTTTTTTCTACATTTTTTTTGTATAAATTTGATTAAAAAGACTTCAGGAAACATTTAGAAGAACTGTAATCTATGATTAAATACGACTTTATCTGCGCTTTCAATAATCAAAATCACAGCGCTCTATCTTATCTGTCAGAAATTATTCAAAAATTCGCTACCTATCTTTTTAAACTAGGCATTTTGTCATTGTCATCGTCGTAAAAAAATCACTCAGTAAGACTTTTCAAGTCGTGAATATTTGCCCGATGGTTGTATATGCCACGGTATGGGAAACATTCAAATAGAAATAGTTTCAAGATGAAATTTAAAAATACGATTTTTCCGAAAATCCAGAATTCTGCGATGAATAAGGATACTTAAAGTTTAATTGCTCCATTAAATCTCAAAACTTTTCGAATCATCACTAGAAAACCATGAAGTATCTAAAGAGAAAAAAGACTATTGAAATCAAACGAGAGCACTCGACGATGTTCCCTTGTTAATTGGAGACTTGTTGAATCCAGGGCACAACATCGATAGTTAAAACATCCTTATTAATTTCAAACTCTTATTATCAGAGAAACTCTATGATAGATGAATTATCATAAGGATTTGCGAGTATAATCATATATGATATCAAGATGATAAAAAAAAAGACAAATGAAAGAGAAATAAATAAAAATAATAATGCAGGAAAAATAAATGAAAGTAGATTAATTTATTCTCTGTTTATGACTTATAAAAAGGACAAGACGAAATTTAGTTTTTTTTTTTGTTCAACTTTAAATAAGTAAATTAACTGTTTGTTAAAGCATAGTTTGATTTTGTGTAAATGTCTTTTTTCTGAATAGCTAATAATAATTGTACTAAAATAAAGACTTTATGTTGTGTTCAACCATGAAGAATTAGTCGAAAAACATTGTTGATGACTAGCCATGAATTATTAATGCAACGTAATAAAAATGTTTCTGTAAATTGCATGGGTGGATCATTATCAGCCTAAATAAATATGATTGTATTCAAAGATATATTAAATTTCATATTATTATTTACTTTTAGAGCACCAGTCACAACAATTAAAATACAACTATCATATGTTGGTTGAATATCCATAGTTGATATTGTATGGCTTATTGTTTGAAATGTTAATGAACGTAATTTTTCAACTATTTGTTGAGCACCTTTAGCAAAATCAGAATTATTGAAACTCATCATACCATTAATAGGTTCCTTTAAATAGAATAAATTTCAATGAATCATAAATACAAAAAACAAGAATCTTTTTTCAAATAGATATATTTACATAAAGTGCTGCTACACCATCACGTGGACCTGTATCAAATTTGTTATAATAAAAATCAATGAATGCTTTTCCAATTGCCTTAAAATCACTCATAATTTATGTAAGAAAAATAGGTAGTCAATTTAAATCTGAAATTAATAGTAATTTATATGAAGTAACGAACTGACAGAAAGAAAAGATAGAGAAGACAATGAAACAGAAAAAGAAATTTGTCCAACGTTAGTTAATTGAGGCTGAAGAACCATAGATAATTTATTTACGCAATCGTACAATTTAATTAATTCAATAATGATTTATTCTATTTTAATTAGATTTGTTTCTTTGTTTTCAAAAAATTTTCAGAAAAAAAAAATATTTATCAAATATTGGTAGGAGGCAACAATAATACAAAAATGAACAAAACATCACTGATTGGTGGATAAGAATTGATGGAGATAACCACTAACTTTTTTTTATACTGCCTAAACTAGGTTAGTTAGATAGGCAATCATTGAAAATCATGCCTATCTCACTAAATCAACCATCAATACCTAAACCATTATCATGGAATTTAACTATCGATTCAACAACTGTTGTGGTCACAGGTTCAATGACTATCGGTTCTGTGATGGTTCAACTTGTTAATTGTCTCGGTTCGTTTTTTTCTGTTTTCTACTCATTACGACTATTTAATGTATAAATAGATATATCTCAAGATTTTTCTGATTATGCACTTTGGTGGTCAAAAACAAATATATGGTTATTAAACACAAAATGGACACTTGATCAATATGGTGTTCAATCAGATGCTCAACTTTCTTTTATTAGCATGCATAAATCTATTCGTTTACAATTACCTGATTTACGTGTTTTATCAATAAGTGCAGATTTTTCCGTTACAGTTTTTGCTGCTGTTTGTAAACTTTGTAAAGATCTTGGTAAAAATAGAGATGTTTTTTTTTCCGGATATTCAGTAAGAAATATTTGATTCAATTAGGAATTCGTCATGCGGAAGAACTTTCACTTTTACGTGTACTAAAAGTAACAAATACAAATGGTTCACATGAGCGTCGTACATCACCTCGTCGTCGACGCTATAATATCGGTACACTTAATCGACATAATTCTATGGGTGATTCATTAGCAAATAATACATCAACAATATCAACATTATTTTCTCCAGGAACACCTAAACTTCGACCGAAAATAACAAATGATACAATAGTAAATATTTGAAATAATTTTAATAGAAAAATCACATAATATATATTTTCTTATGTTTTGAAAGGATTCATCAGTACGTCATCAACGTTCAATATCAAATCTTTCGAAATCACTTAACAGTTTAGTTACAAA